TCTCCATCATATCTGAAGGATATTTTTGCTGGATAGAGTATTGTTGGCTGAAAGAGTTTGACTTTCAGAATTTTGAATATATCATTCCACTCTCTCCTGTCCTGTAAGGTTTCTGTTGAGAAATCCGCCAAAAGCCTGAATAGGATTCCTTTGTAGGTTATTTTCTTCTGCCCACTGCCCTTAATATTTTTTTCTCATTGACTTTTTTCAGTTTTACTAATATATGCCTTGGAAAGAGTCTTTTTACATTGATGTAATTAGGAGTTCTGTAATCTACTTCTACCTGTAATTCTGACTCCTTCCCCAGGTTTGGGAAGTTCTCAGGTATTATTTCTTTGAACAAGCTCTCTTCTCCTTTCTTCCTCTCTTCTCGCTCTGGAATACCTATAATCCATATGTTGCATTTCCTAATTGAGTCGGATATTTCTTCATTTCTTTTTAGTCTTAGTTCTGTCTCTTCCTCCATCTGAAGCATTTCTATAGTCCTGTCCTCTAAATTGCTAATTCTGTCCTCCGTAATATCAGCTCTCTTATTTAAGGACTCTAGATTTTTCTTTATTTCATTCACTGTGTTTTTCATCTCCAACATTTGATTGATTTTTCTTGTAGTTTCAATCTCTGTTTTAAAGAATTCCCTCTTCATTAATTTTGTTCATGATTTCATTGAACTAAGTTCTCTGAACTTGTTGAGCTTTGTTGTGATAGCTATTTTGATTTCTCTGTCCTTTATTTTATTATTTTTTTGAGGATGATTAGCCCTGAGCTAACATCCACTGCCAATCCTCTTTTTGCTGAGGAAGACTGGCCCTGAGCTAATATCCATGCCCATCTTCCTCTACTTTATATGTGGACACCTACCACAGCATGGCTTGCCAAGCAGTGCCATGTCCACACCTGGGATTCGAACCAGCAAACCCTGAGCCAACGAAGTGGAACGTGCACACTTAACTGCTGAGCCCCAGGGGCTGGCCCCTGATTTCTCTGTCCTTTAGATTGTAGATTTCTGTGCCTTCAGGATTGATTTCTAGTTGTTGGAATGTTTTCTTCTGGAGTATTAATATATTTCTTTATACTATTTGATGGGTGGATCTGTGCCTTCACATAGTGATAGTATCTGGGCACAGATTCCACTTGCTGCCACTGGGAGTGTCAGGGGCAGGAGCTGTGTATTCTGAGCCCACCTCGATCCCTGTTACCTGTGCCTCTCTGAGCCTGAGCCACTCCTTGGTACTGCAGTGTCCCTGTAGGCTCTTTCACTGAATGGGAAAGTGATCACACGGGGGCTCAGGCTGCCACTGCCTTCTCCCACAGTCCCAGAGAGACACGCTTGTCCCTTCAGGGCTTCAGCAGTACTATGGGTATTTGTGACAGCTGGTAACTCATTTGCCTGGGCCCACAGAACCACTGCCATCTCCTTCTAGGTTGCACCAGGTGTTGTGCTTGGTGGGCAGGCCTCCCCACTGGGTCTGACCCAGAGCTACTCTCTGGGACCGCAATGGTACTGTGGGCTCTCCCACTGTGTGTGAAAGCGATCAAGTGGGGTCTCTTGGCTGCTGCTCCTTGTTCCCACAGTCCTGCCTAAACGTGCTCCCACCTTCAGGGCTGCCACAGTACTATGGGCGTTCGTGGCAGCTGGGAAGTTGTTTGTTCTGGTGTGCAGATCCACTGCTGTCTCCTCCTAGGCTGCACCAGCCATTGTGCTTGGTGAGTGGGGCCTCCTCCCTGGGTCTGAGCTTGGGCCACTCCTTGGGGACTGCGGTGGTATTGTGGGTTCTCCCACTAGATGAGAAAGCAATCACTCTGGGGCTTAGGGCTGCTGTCACCTGTTCCTGCAGTTGTGCCAAGGCACGTTCCTACCCTTGGGGCCACAGTGGTGCTGTCGGTGCTCCAGCCTGGAGAGCATTCTCACACATCTACGGTGCTGCCGGGGGGCCAGAGAGTAGTCACTTATCTCCACCACCTCCCCGGTGGTAGTCCATCCGCTTTCTAACATAGAGCTGTGCAGGTCTCTCAGGCCCCCTGATGTGCTGTGTGGGTATCCTCTGCTGATCAATGAATGTCCCTTTAGTTGTAGTTCGAAGCGGGAAAGACAAATGGAACAGCTCACTCCACGATGTTGCTGATGTCACCTCTTGTGATACTGTTTTTTTAAACAAAGGTCTTATTAAAGATGCGTATAAAAAGTATGTGTGGGTCAAATGGCGTGTCTCCAATTTGCATTTAAAAACTAAGGGTAAAAGTAAACGTGTATGTGAGTGGGGTGTGTATTTTGGGTAGGCTGAGGGTAGGGCCGGAGGCAAATGAAGCAAGATTAGCAACTTTTTGATAATTATTGAAGCTGGTTGGTAGGTATTTATTGTTCTCTCTATTTTTGTGTATATTTGAAAATTTTCATAATATAAAGTATAAAAAGTAGATCTATATTGGTAATATTCAAGTAGTAGTGGTAATTAGTAAATTTGGGAAATGTTAAAGGAACAACAGCGTCAACTTTTGTCACAATTACAAGTAGGATAGAATGTCATCATAGCATATAACAAAAGGTTCTTAGAGTATAGTTTTTATTAAAATGTTAAGTTAAGGCTGGTGCACTCCAACAGCCTTTATTCACAAAGATTTTAGATTTGCTCCAGAGGTCCTTTGTCAAATGAACTTTATTTTTGCATTAGATATAGGAAATTGTTAGAAATATGTGTAGGCTAAGCATTTTAATTTTGTGAAATTCCACTTATATCTTATTCTTAATAACCAGGTAATTGATGATTGAGTGGAGGTGATGCTGATGGTCAGAAGGAGAATTCAAGTTAACATAACTCAGAATTACCAATGAAACCAAACTAGCCAAGTAGGGTAGAAAATAGATTTAAAATACTTTTGGAGATTAGGACTCATACCATACTTGATTTTGAGTTGCTTATATTCTTACACTCACTGTTGTTGCTCCCCCTCCTTTTGCTCTCTTTCTATGTCAAACTATCTTAAAACGTTGTTGCTTGGCATCTCAAATGCCAGTTTACAGAGTTCCCATTTATCTAGTTCATGAGTTATTTTTATCATTTTGGCAGACTCTGGCTGTGCCATTGTTTTTATCTGGTTAACCTCCCAGTGGACATACCAGAAGACAGAATTATCTTCCAGGCTCCAAACAGACAAAACAAAACAGGCAAAAAACATTTCATTCAAAATTACTCAGATGTTGGTTTTGATATTCCTTGTGCTTGTTTCTCATTGAACACGTTCCTAGAGTCTTTATAGGAGGACTCTTTTAATGAGTCTTTTTGCTTGTTTTTATTTCACTTGAACATAACCCTCCTCCATACACATTCTCTCCTCCACTCATTTCCCTTTTCTCTATAATAATGGAAGTTACTTAAGTGTCTTCTCCCCTGGTCAAACTGTTTTTAATGATTTTCAAAGCTTTGTTGCAAGTTGTAGATGACAAATTATCATGTGGATTCCCACTTTAAATTACTATTCCAACCTCTTACAAGGCAGTGGAGAATGTTCCCTAGTTGTGATAGACAGAATATGTTCTTTACCTCTGCTGTGTAATACCACCAATACTGTATTTCGTTGTTTCGAAACAAGGTACATATTTTAGCATTTCTAAAACCCGGATGTGTCTTACAGTTGCTGATGACCAGATGGCAGCTATGATGTATTGTCATTGCCTATGCTTGTACAACCTTGATAGTATTCCCATGGCATGGCTGGTTAGCTGTGCTTCCTCAGTTTTTCAGTCAACAGATGATTTAAGAACATTGAAATCCTGGCTGTTGTTGGAAAACCTTTGATCAATAAATTCTCATTAGATCCACAGCGTATCAACATCAACACATGCAGTTAAGGGTATCAGTGACTTGTAAGGAAATCTGATTAATGTGGAATAGAATACAATTTTAAGAAATACTTTCATCTCCAGAGCTCTTGGTGGCATATAGGAGAGTATCATATGGAGAATATACATTGATGATTAAGTGAAAAGTGATTCAGGAGATTCTCCTGAATATTCCAAAGGAATATGTTAGCCGATTCATTTTGCTTACATTTCCTTGCTATGTATGCAGAAATAAGTAACGATCCACTAGGTTGTATCGTTTATTTAAGTGTTTTTTTCTTTTCAGTGGTATGTAGTTAAATTATATCAATGGCATCTTAGATTCAGTGAAATATGGTATCTCCTTTTCAATATATAGATGTTTTTGCAGCTAAGAAAGTTTAATTTTCTAGAAAATGTATTATTTTTGTTTTGAAAATCACAAACTGAACAGTGTGGTAATTGAGAATTGGAAGTACTGTGAATCAAAAATGAGTACGTTTGCTATTTTTAAAGCAAATACTTGATGAGTAGGCAAAAAGTGAAATACAGCATAAATAGTGGTATTATTATAGTCATCAAGGTAATTTAATGCCAATTGAAATATTGATTATTCCTGTTTGTTAATATAACATGACAGCTTTAAAGATGTTAACATGACGTAACATAATATCTTTAAAGATGACAGTCTCTGTTCTACACAGAAGGCAGTGGAGAGCATTTTTATTACTCACAAGTTTTTAATAATCCTGTTGAAATTCATTAATTTGTTCTTTTTTTTAATTCCCAAAGTTTGTCCTCCCACTTCCCACCACTGGTATTTGAATGCATGTTGAATGGGAGCTCCTAAGATGAATCAGTACAAAGAGGTGCAGCTTTATCTGTAAAGCCTGATTTCCTATAAAAAGGAAGATGACTCATAACCAATATGACAGGGTGTCAGCATCTTTAATTTTAATGATGAAACATGGATTTATTTCTTTCGTACTTTTCTGAACGTGTATTTTCTAACTTTTTGAAAAGGTCATTTTCCTCTTTTGTATTGGTGACCTTAAGATGAGGATTATGTGACTTCCAGGATAAAATAAAAGTAACTTAGTGTAACTGAAATTAGGCGAGATCTTGGAGAAATATTTAATCCCCTACAGAGAATTTAAAATTATTGCTTTTCTTATGGTTATAGGGCTACGCACCACCACCTAAAAATGGGATTGAACAGAAGCGCCCGGGACGCCCTTTGAATATTACTTCTTTGGTTAGGTTATCTTCAGCTGTGCCAAACCAGATTTCCATTTCTTGGGCATCAGAAATTGGAAAGGTAAAGATTCTCTCCTCTGGGTAGCAGGAAAGTGATCCTGCTAGGAGTTGATTTATTTCGTTTTTTCTTAGGCTGCTAGCTCCAACTTGTTCAGTTTTCTGGTGGTAATCTCTGAAAAGTGGTAATTTTCATTTTGGGTTAAAGGTGTGGAGATTCTTAAGGTTGAAAGCTGTAAGCTTAGTTTTCTGAATGTCATCTCTTTATTTTCCTGGAAAGGAAATAAGTATAATTACAATATTTCTGAAGGTAATGGTTTAATCACAATGGTGTTTATATGTTTGTTTAAGTAGTAGTTTAAGAAACTGGAAACTTTAGTGATGTTATGTATTTATGAAGAGGAAGAGAGAAAGCATTATCCTGTTTTAGGAAAAATGGTTAAATGTACTCAGGTTGTGATAAGAAATAATCTGTTCCGGCCTTTACATAAACAGCTGATACTTCAGATAACATATGGGCATCTTGTATGAAAATATGTCCTTAGAATTATATTATTTCCTCTATACCTGCAGGTTGCTGAACCTGGCTTTCTGCTGATTCTTAGTCTCAACATCAGCAGTTGTGAACTAGTGATTAATGCAACAAGGCATTTTCATTTTAGAACTACTTATATAACTGAAATAATAGAAAGGCAGGAGATTCCAGTTAATTTCTGAACATCAACTTTTAATGTTGCTATTTCATAGAAATAAAGGATAATATTCTTGTTCTGTGGATGGAGAGTTTGAGACATACCTTTGTAGTAGGGAATTTTTGGTTTGATCACCAACGTAATTGCAGAGCTGGACATAAAGAAGAATATTTTTGTGTTAATCTTTGGACCATAACAATATTAGTTTCTTTGATTATTGTTCTCTTGAGCACTCATTTCTGAATTTTTGCTATAACTTGTTGGTATTATCATAGGGCACTATGCAGTATTTGCATGAACTGAATGTGCAGTGGTAAAGCATTGGATAAGGATTCAGAAAATCTGGGCTTAGTCTCAGGTTGACCATTGTGTGTTTGCGGCAAAGTTGCTTAATTCTCTGAAGCCTGCTTTCTATAAAGAATAAGTATAATCTTGAGAGTGGGTCTTGTATACAAATGTAAGGGACGTTTTAAATGAGCAAGTATTAATTTTTTAAAGTTTCATGAGGAATTTGAACAGAAGAGTATATCTTACAGATTTTTGAATAAGTGATTGTAGACATTGAAGACTTGTTAGTTTTTTTGCCACATAATGTGAATAGTTTTCTTTCCTTGTAATTAAAATGATTAGTTGACTTAAAATTTGCACAATATGTTGGATATTCAGATATTTAAAAGGACTGTTGCAGGACATTAAAAAACAGTGTTTAAAATATTTGGTTTGGCAACTGTTAAAAGTATTTTGTTTATTGTAGATTGATTGAATGAATATACGTAGTGAAATGGTAAGACAGAGTTTTAGCATTTAGGTAAAATTATATTTCATCTCTTCATAGCTCTGTAAATAGCTAACGAAGTTTTCTTTGTGCCAGATCCAAGAGGTACAGGATTGGACATTATTATTTCCTGGCCTTGTCTTTTTGATTTTTATCATTTCTTCGTGTGTCTTACATATTACAGTAGCTGTCCCTTCCCCTGTAAAATGCCCATTTGGGAACAGGAGTTAATTTCTTGAAGTTTTCTCAGAAGAAAACTGATTTTGGGTTCATTTGAATGATTTGCTCAAGGCCGTGTAGTAGGTGGTCTCTTTTCCCAGAATTAGAACTTCAGAACTCTGGATTTGAAGTGTTAGTTCCGACCACTGGTGTTTGAACTTGGTTTCTGTAGTGGAACCCATTTTTCAATGAAAATATTGTGAGAGCCACGTTACATGAAAACAGAACAATTCTAGTTAAAAGTGGGCGTGGAAGGGTATGTTCTCATTCCTACTGTGGTGGCCCCTAATGTACCAGTTTTGCTAAATTAGAAACACTTTTTGAAAACCACTGATCTAACTTATGTTGTCTTTCACATGGATGTTTTAGAGTGATATGTGATTGAGAAATGTGTTTAATATGATTGAGTTGTTATTTGCCCTAAAGTAGCTGAATTGATTTTGTTCCCTTCCCAGTCATTGACCTTCCTGTGGAAGTTATTTTGAACGTCATTTGTAGAAACCAGAGTTTCTTAGACAAGTATTTTATATAAACAGAGACTATTATCTCTTGTCTTTAACACAGATTATCTTTCTTTGTAGAATTACTCCATGTCTGTATATCTTGTACGACAGCTCACATCAGCCATGTTATTGCAGAGATTAAAAATGAAAGGTATTAGAAACCCTGATCATTCCAGAGCACTAAGTAAGTAATGTTTGTAAGACTGAGCATATGAGATGCTCTAATGAAAAAGCCTCACATGTACATCAATCAACACAGGAACAATTTGGAAACAATTATTAGAAACCTAAAATGAATTTTGAGTTTAAAAATAATCTTAAGAATGGAGCTCTGTAAATTGAAAAACCCTTCTCTTAAAAACCACTCCCAAGAGCATCAATTTTAAATCCCAACTAGTCTAATTTTTGGCCTCTTCGTGAAAACTTATGTAAATGTCAGCTTGGTGGTAGTTATGATGCACATATTGACTTGAGAAAAGGACTGCAAGTCTTCAAAACCTCCAGTGTGGAATAGAATGTACATTTTAAAAAATATAAATAAGAGGCTCTTTTTGCAAAAGAAATATTCATACCTATCAATAATATTTGCCTTCTGAGATGTTTTATTTTGCACTTTTGCTTTTGTAATGTATAGTAATAGGTAGAGAAAAAAGTCTGACCCAAACTGTAAATAATTCAGATCAGTTACTGAATTTAATTGAACAAGACATTTTTCTGAGAAAGAGAATATTTTTTTCCCCTAGTTACCTGCCATACCACTGAATGAACCAGAAAAGAGAAAAGGATCCATAGATTGGAAAGGGAGCCAAGTAGGGCTATTGAAATGGTATTTTGTCTCTTATACTCATACCATTTCTAATCTCCTCAAACAGCACAGTAGTGATCTTCCTGCCTGGAGCTGAAAGCCAGGGAAGCTCTTCCCTAATTTTTCTTGCCCTGCTCTGGTTCTCCTGTCTCCAGTTCCAGTCCCATTCTCCCTGTAAGATGAGAATCAGGCCTCTGAAGGAGATGTATATATTTATTAGCTTGTATATGCAGTAACTTGTGTACACTACCTGGTGAATGAAATCACAGACATAATACCACATCCGTAGTAGTTTTCACTTGTCAAAGGGAGTATGAACATCTTTACCTTTTCTACTTGCAAATTTAACAGTTGTTGGACACATCAGTACTCCCTAGTAAAAAGTCATGATTGTTTGTTAGGAAAGTACTCAAGCTCAGAGCACTGCTGCCTTCCAATTCCTTTCCTAATTGTTGTATTGTTCTTTAAACAGTTTTCTGTTTTGAAACTCTTCCTTACCTGCAATTTTACTTTTAAAAAGAAAATTTAAAAATTCAGTTAAACGTGTCATCTAGAGTATGCAAGTTGGTAATTCTTTAACCTAATTGTGGAAGTATGATTATGTTTTCAATACATTAATACTTAACATTTTGTTTTTGTAGTTTCTTGTGCTATTCAAAGTGTTTGGGACATTTTAAATAAGATGATATATATTTTATAATTCTGTTCAGATGTCACAATTAATTAAAAACATTTTTTATTATCATTTTTCCTTCTTTTTAAAGTTAAAGAAAAACTTACTGCAGATCCTGATAGTGAAATTGCCACGACTAGCCTTCGGGTATCCTTGATGTGCCCTGTAAGTAAAGCCACACAGCGTTCTGGGACGTTTTACTTTTTATAATTAATAATTTTCCTACAGAAGTAAGTGTGGGGAATGAAGGGGATATTATGATAGAATTCTGAACCTTTCTTGTTTTCCCATTAAGGAATCTTCATGATTAAGCATTGTAATTCCAAAGAATGCAAACATTCTTCAGGCAATGATTAACTGAGAAGAGACCTAAAAGGATACTGTATCGAAGTGGAAAGAGAGCTTTAGGTTCAGAGTAATCTGTCACAGTCACTGCTATAAGTAATCCACAGCTCATAATAAACATGTATTGAGAGTTGGCTCCTTTTATCAGAATATAAACGGTATTGAAAAATAACAATAACGTTACTAGGACCTAATAAATGCTAGTTGATGGTTTTGGTTAAATGAGTTAAAATGTGTGAGATACCTTAATCTGTTTGTAATGTACTTTTAAATTGCACAGTAATGTTTATTTTATATCTCCTTACATAGAGACTGGGGGGAGAAATCAGTCAGCAACTCTGAGATCCTCCTGTGTGTTTGGTACTGAGCTAATTGTGGGAGAAAATACTAAAGACTTGATAAGAAGTTGTCAGAAAGTTAATAATCTAGTTTGAGAGGTAAAACTAAGTCTCATGAAAAAGCAGCAGACTCTACTTACCACATAGAATCATGCTGTTGGAGTACTAAAGAAGAGGCGGGAGAGGTCAGGAATAGTGCATGAAGGCTTCTTTGAAATCAGTAGCGTTGGAGGGGACCCTTTGTAGATGAGAGGAACTTTATGAGTCAGGAATTTGTGATGTAGTTTGCAGGCATTTGGTGACCAGCCACCATTGTGAGAAATAAACAGTTTTTTAAATGGAGAGAGATTGGTGTCAGAGAGAGAAAGGAATAATTTGTTGAGTTCTTACTTTATGCTCCTTATTTAACTGTCTTAGCAAACCTGTATGGAGGAGGAGTTCCTATTTTGCAGATGAGGAAACGCGGACACTGAAAGAGACTGGTTAACTGAAATCTCACAGTTAGTTAGTAGGAGGACAAGGATAAGAATTTTGGTCTTCTTACATTATTCCAGTTCTCTTAACAGGATAACATTATTGCCAGATTGGGCTAAAAGATAAATATCCTGGTTATAAGTCCACCTTTCTTATCACCCCAGAAAGTGCAGATGGATTTCTTTCTGAAGCTTTATATTTTATCATTATTAACTTTAACTTAGCTTTATTGAAAAGGAATAGAATGACATGAAATTGGGACTGTTTAGAAATTGGGAACCTGTGGTTATCAAACCCAGAGCGAAGGCCTGCAGCCTCAGCGGGGAGGACGCGAGTGCCCTGAGGCCATGGCAGAGCCCCGAGGGCGGATGTTTGCACCCAGGACCCCTCTGCTCACAAGCTGTGAGCAGACCTTCAGGCGTGAGTTCTTTGAGTGTCTTCACATTACCTTTTTCCTCCCTTTCATGTGAAAATTGATGTTAAATTGAAATACATGAAATTGCCATTTTGTTGGTCAAAAACAGATAGTGACACTTTCTTGTGGTTTAACCCCTAGTATATTCAGCAAATGTTAATTTGCCAGCTATATTCTAGTCACAGTCACTGTATGGGAGGGGAACTCATGTTACTTTTCATGTTTTAGTATGTCAGACTGTTCTGTCAGGAAGAAAGTGCTTCTACACAATTTACCTAAGGAGTTCTATAGTTGCACAGTGCCATTTTACAGAAATGTAAAATGTTATTTTCTTGGACCTCTTTTTTTTCTTCAACCACTGTACCATTCTACATGAGAACAACCAAAACAAAACACAATGGCTAAACATACTAATGGATTCCCCGACTTTAAAAATATTTTAAGTGGTATATCAGAATGGTTAGGATTGCTTCTATATAAGAATAGGGAGCAGTTCCTTTTAAATGTGACAATTTTAATAAAATTGACAGTTTTAAGAAAATTAACATTTCACTTATTTGACAAAATGAAGTAACAAGACCGTTTTTTTTTTTTTTTTTTTTTGAGGAAGATTAGCCCTGAGCTAACATCCACTGCCAATCCTTCTCTTTTTGCTGAGGAAGATTGGCCCTGAGCTAACATCTGTGCCCATCTTCCTCTACTTTATATGTGGGTAACCTGCCACAGCATGGCTTGATGAGTGGTGCGTACGTCTGCACCTGGGATCTGAACTGGCAAATCCCGGTCCCCAAAACAGGAGCACATGAACTCAACTGTTCCACCACTGGGCCAGCCCCTACAAGATCCTATTTTAAGTTCGTTAAATGTTTTCATTCTCTGCCTTACCAGTGATAACAGGTCTGTTTCTGAGACTGTCTTTGAGTTTTTCTTTAGTATTCATCCTACCTGATTTTTTCAGAGCACTTTCTTTCTTTCCTTTTTTTTTGGAAGTAAGTTGGTGATGGATGGAAAGAAAGACAATGATAGATAACACAAAGATTTTTCGTTTGTTTTTTATTGAAGTAACATTGGTTTATAACATTATATAAATGTCACGTATACTCAGAGCACTTTCTAAGACAAGAATGAATGGTGCTCTTTGGGCTATAGTAGTGTTAACATAAGGTTGGGTATCTCTAGAATATGATGTATGTTAATTAGAAAAGTAAACAGGTATTTTGATCAAATCTAATGGATGGAGGACAGATGTTAGGTGATGAAAATAGTTTTTGAGGAAGAGACCGTACTAGTGTCAGTTGAAGAAAGCAGAATGGAAGTACAGCCAGCTGACTGGAAATAACACAGAATCTGGTGCGGTGATGGGAAATGGAGAAAAAAAAAATGGATGATTGGCACTTGGAAGGATAAGAGATGAACTTTGGGTTTATTAGGCAAAAATGAGAGAAAATGATAGCTTATGGTGGTGAAAGAAATGATCTTATTTCACAGCATGTTTGTGAAATGATTTAGAGTAGACTTGAGTCTCGTTAGGGAGCACAGTCCAAAGCCTCTGTTCTTGGGACCTAAGAAAGGTGATTTTACAGCACTTGTTGAAGAGGCATCTGATTAAGTGTGCAGAATTCTATTTCTGAACACAGCATCGGGATTTTACACAGGAGTTGTATTTTGGTGATATCAGCTGGTGATTTTCAGTCTGTCCTCCAGAGGATGGCTGGGTGACCAGGGTTAGAAAAGGGACCTAGGTTTCATTTTTTCTCTTACGATTCTGACTAATATGTTTTAAAAAGGGGGTCAGGAGGGGTTCTGTGGCTAATAATAATTTAGAACCACTGATTTGTGCCATTTTTACTTATAAACTCTTAATTTAGATAGATACTAATTAGTCTACATTGAAGTGAAAATCCATTTAGATACTACCTGCTTAACATTTTAATAAAAACAAGTGTATTGGTTAGACATCATTTCATTCATAAAAATGATATGTTTCAAAACAGCACCACCATCTGACTAAATCGATTTTAGCACATTCAAATTAACATGCCATAATAAGTATTAGGAAATTGATCAGATTTGCCAGTTAGAAATAAGTGCTTTCTTAATTTGGGAAATGCTCGTTAATTCTTGTAAGACAGTAGAGTAGGATTAAATTTAGGATCAGCAACTTTTGTATTCCTGAATGTTGTCATTTCTGTATGCTGTGGAAATTCTGAGGCAGTGACAGGAGAGCTGAAAATAGCATAGAAGAAGAAGAAAAAAGCAACAGTTTGCAGAGTGTGGCTCAGAAATACCTGGGAGTCCCTGAGACTCTTGGAAGAGATCCATGAAGTCAAAACTATTTTTATAATCCTACTAGAACACAATTTCTCCTTTTTTTGCCCTCATTCTCTCATGAGTAGCCAGTGATGTTTAACAGGGATTACCTGACAGATGGTGATGTCATTGTTCTGATGGCTGATGGAATGGGTACTTGTGTATTCTTTTGTTTTAAAAGTGTCTGTTTTAATTTCTAATACAACAAATACTGATAAATACAGCCTACATTCATAAAACCTATTTTAGGTTCTCAGTCTTTAAGAATGTAAAGGGATTCTGAAACCAAAAGTTTGAGAACTAGTAGCCTAAGAAAACCATAGTAGGCTGAGTTAGAGCATTATTTTAAAGAAACAAATTACAAAAATTGACAATACCTACTTTATTATAAAATTGTTCAGTAGAAAAGAAACAAAAGTAAAAATTTAAATTAAAGTCTGTTATTCTAGAAACATTTTAGTAATATTATTACTAATAGTATGATTTATCTTTTAGATTTGACTCTATATTCGTAATCATATGTGTGCTCATAGGAAAAAATTGTATTGTGCTGTATATACTGTTCTGTGGTTTACTGTTTTTTAAATTAACAGTATATCTTAAATGTATTAATGTATGTAGATCTATCTTATTTTTATCATTGTAGGCATTTTGTTGAAGGGTTCAATGTAACTTATTTATTCACCCTTTTTTAGTGATTATTTGGGTTGTTTCCAAACACTGATTGTGTAAAAAAGCAGTGATGGAAAATTGCTAAATAAAGCACCAGCCGGTAAAATCCAGTACTATGTATTTTTTTTTTTTTTTGAGGAAGATTAGCCCTGAGCTAACTACTACCAATCCTCCTCTTTTTGCTGAGGAATACTGGCCCTGAGCTAACATCCACGCCCATCTTCCTCTACTCTATATGTGGGACGCCTACCACAGCATGGCTTTTGTCAAGCAGTGCCATGTCCGCACCCAGGATCCGAAACAGCGAACCCCAGGCCACCGAGATGTGGAACATGCACACTTAACTGCTGTGCCACTGGGCCGGCCCCCCAGTACTATTTTAAAAGATTAATATGTCGTAACAGAGGGATAATGCAAGTATAGTGTGACTTTAGAAAATGTATTAAAACTTTATATTAATAATTAAAAGGGGGGGAACCCCCGTGATCATCTCATTAGGTGCCGAATAGGTATTTAGTCATTATCCATTCCTAATAGAACAAAAACTCTTAGCAAATAGGAAAAGGTAGGGAATTAAGACCAAAAACTAGCACCGGGTATAATGTTACAAAACTAGGAGCGTTCTCATGAAAGTGAAAAACATTTGGATTTGTGTTATAGCTCCACCAGCTGTATCTCAGTGAGTGTGTTGTTTTTAGCCTCTTGTAGCCTTAGCATCTTCATTTCAAAAGTAGAAATATAGAGAGTAGTCCTTCTGGAGTCGTAGAGTTGTTATGAGAGTTATATGAAGTTTATATAAAAGTCAGCACACTGTAAAAGTCTGCATTACTTAAGGGATGATTTGTTATTGAAGGTAGGGAAAATATAGAAGCAAATATTGCAAGAAGAGAAGTTGCTTCAGGTTCCATTCTTACTTTTTTGTCTGTCTTAAATAATGAGTTATATTGTGCTGGATACTTGCACAAATCACTATAACTTCTAAGGTCTTTTTAGAAACCTAGTTCGACACGTAGGCAGAGGCGGTATAGCTCAGTGATAAGAGTATGGACCCTAGAGCCAGAGCTTCGTAGTTCAAATATTGTCTCTGCCACTTTCTGACTTTGTAATGTTAGTCAAGTTACTTAGCTTCTTTGTGCCTCAGTTTCCTCATGTATAAAAGGGAGGTGATAACGTATATCTTCTGTATAGTGCAGTTGTTAGGTTTAAATGTAAAGTGTTGCTAGCATTAATGTAGAGTACTCAACATTGTGCTTTGCATGTAGGTAGAGCCATGTAAGTGTTAATTATTGCTATGATGATGAATTGGCTAAATTATTTTCTTTTTAAATTACAAAATAACCAAATATTCATTTTAGAAGAAAGAAATTACAGGTAAACCAAAAGGAAAAAAAGTACTATCCTAAATTCCTACCCCTCAGGCAGAGTTAACTGTTACAAGTTTTCTGTTAATTCTAAAGACTTTATAGTACATATGAAGAACTCCTTCCCACTTCCCTTCCTTTCTTTTTGCCTCTTTTCCAGTCTCTCCATTCATTCTGCTGTCTGGTCAAGAAATAGCACATGCTGCATGCTAAGTACTGTGCTGTAACACTTGGATTACAGTGGTGAAGAGCGACCTAGGCCTTGTCCTTGAGGAGTTTAGAGTCTAGTGGGAGAAACAGATTTTCTATGGCAGAGCTGGTTATAAACCAAGATTTTTTTCTGTAAAGGACATATAAGAGAGGTTTGAAATGCTATCCAGGAAGCTGTGGTCTGATCTAATCTGGCTATTGCGTGTGTTTTGATGTTAGTATACCTCCGTCAACTGGAATAAGAATTGAAGCAGAGGACCTTAGTTACACAAAAGTATATTGAGTCATTGACACGTGGTTATAGAAAAGTGAAAAAATTTTATAAGTGAAAAATATATTTGCAATTAGTATAACGTGCATGCACGAGGCTCATTAATATAGAGCTCCCATAAATAGGTACTTAAGATTAATACCCAAATGGAAAATGAGAAAAGGTTATGAACAGACAGTTCTTGGAAACACAGATGACTCTTAGAAGTGAAAAAAAAGAGGCTCAGCTTTATTTATAATAAGAGAAATGTAGATCACAACTGTAATGGGGTGTTTATCAGATTGGCAGAGATGAAAGAATTCAGTAGCACTATATTGACAAGGTCGAGGGTAACCAAGCACATTAATGCATGTATATGCATAAATCAGTAGATATCCTCTGTGGAAGATAGATTGTCAATGTCACAAAAATCACAGATGCACTTTCGAAACCTTTGACCCAAAAATTTCACTTCTGGGAATTTGTCCTATAGATATTTATTGCAGCATTATTTGTAATAAAAGATTAGAAAGAATTTAAATGTCCATCGCTAGGAAGGGTACTGGTTACGTAAATAATCTTTCATATCAATCATGATACCTTCATATCATAATAGCTCTTTACGTTTTGGTACATGTGAAATAATCACCAAGTTATATTTTGTCACAAAAGGTGCAGAATTGTGTGTATATTGTGTGCTGCCATTAGTTGGAACGTGTTTTTTAAAATACACGTTTGATTATGCGTGAGAGGACGTGGAAGAGATGGACAGCAGTGGTTCCCTCTAAATAGGGGAACAAGTGAGGAGATATGTTTTCATTGTATATTTATCTTTTTCTGTCTGAATTTATGTGTTACCTATTTTCAAGAACTGAGATGGTCTCTTAAAAATCTTAGGGCAATCAATGAATACAAATAAAATACATAGTGGTCTTGATGGAAGTAAATTCTGGTTTGAATGTCTTTTTCATTTTAATCTTGTGTGACTTCTCCAGACTTTGATGACTGGCTGTTCACTTTGCGGCTTTGTTCTTCTTTCTGAAGTGGTTTCCCATGTTGTTGTCCCTGTCCTGTAGTTAGGGAAGATGAGGCTGACAATCCCGTGTCGTGCAGTGACTTGTACACATCTACAGTGTTTTGATGCTGCCCTTTATCTGCAAATGAATGAGAAGAAGCCCACCTGGATTTGTCCTGTGTGTGACAAAAAAGCTGCCTATGAAAGTCTAATTCTAGATGGGTAAGTATATCCCAACCTAGCTATATTAGCTGTGTCTCCATTCAGCACAACCTTAGAAAAAGTCTACTGTAGCTTAAAGTCTAGATATTTGTGTTTTCTGCTTTATGCTTAATTGTTCTCAATCTTGTTTTTAAACTGTGGTTAGTGGCCCTTTTGTCTTTATAATATGATTTTTGTTGGGGACAAGAGGGTGTGTAGCTTCCTTTTCTTTGTGCTCTCATAGATCATATTTCATAGCCCATAGGGAAGAGGGGAAAGTCCACTTAGAGATGTCATTTTGCTTACATAGAACTTTGTAAGGAGCAACTAGGGTTTGTATAAAAACACACAACAGGAGGTAGGGTAGGTAGAGTTGTGTTTCGAAGCCGGTAAGTTCAAAGTTGGAATTCACGCCCAGATTTTTCTGACTGTGGACCGCAAACTCTTAAGCATTATCTTATGTTGCATATTTCAGAATTTAGAAAATAATATGAACTAATTATCACTAAACGAGGTACCTTTTCTTTTGGATAACGCTTTAAAAAAATGCATATATCGTCTATGCACCACTGTAAGATTTAGAAAATACAATTAATGAAAAGATTAATATAAAATCATCAACATTACATCGTATAGTGATGTCTTTGTTATTGATGTAAAAAGATTGAACTCATACTTTACATAATGATTTGTATGTACATATGATTTTCGCTCACTATAGACTGAAAAATATCCTAGATCTTTAAAGATAGTTTTACAGCATTTTTTCCCCTAAGTTTTAAAAGTATTGCTGTGTAGAGAGGAATGAGGCCATGAAGAGTGAATGGGACTTTCAGTTTTCTCTATAAACTTAACTGGGTTTTTACTTTTTATTTATTTATTTTTAAAGATTTTATTTTTTCCTTTTTCTCCCCAAAGCCCCCCGGTACATAGTTGTGTATTCTTCGTTGTGGGTTCTTCTAGTTGTGGCATGTGGGACGCTGCCTCAGCGTGGTCTGATGAGCAGTGCCATGTCCGCGCCCAGGATTCGAACTAACGAAACACTGGGCCGCCTGCTGCGGAGTGCGCGAACTTAACCACTCGGCCACGGGGCCAGCCCCCGGTTTTTACTTTTTAAATCTTTTTAACATTTTAAAATAATTTCAAACTTCCATAGAAGTTGCAACAGTAGCACCAAGAGCCTCCTGTGTAACTCTGACTCAGATACATCAGTTGATGACATTCTGCCATGTTTGTTTTATCACACTCCCTCTTAATATATATGTGTATACACATTTTTGGCTTGTGCACGTATGTGTAGAGAGAAAGAGATGATAATTATGACTATTTTCAGAATTCTTTTGAACTCTTGGAGAGTATGTAGCTTATGTCATACTCCTTTGTCCATTAATATTTTAGAATGTGTTTCCTAAATACTTGATATCCATTATATGGGTATACTACTAATTGTTTAAATGTTTTTTCTATTATTGCCTATATTGTCTGCTTCTACGTTTTCTATTTTAAGTTGCCTTGTGATATGAACATTTTTGAAGCTTTTTGTGTGTGTGTGTGTGTGTATGTCTATGGATTTTTTCTTAAAGTTCTTAGAAATTGAAATGCTGAATCGAAGAGAATATATAATTTTAAGGCTTTTACTATTTATTATAAAGATGCTTCCCAGAAGGAGTAAACTGTGTCACTTCACTGTCCTGCTAGTAGTGTATTAGAAGCCCACTTCTCTGTCTTGTTACCAACCATATATATCGTATTAAATCTTATTTTTAAAATACCTTTACCAATTTCCTAGTTGGAAAGGTTTCTTACTGTTCTGATTTCTGTTTTTTCCATTACAAGAGTTATCAAACAATCTTCATCCATATATTGGTTGTCACAATAACTTTTCACAAATTGCCTCCGAGTGTTCTTTTTTTCATTTTTCTTTGTGGTGGTTCGTCTTTTTCTTACTAATTCATAAGTGGTCGTATATATTGAGGATGTTAATTTCTCTGTCCACATGTGCCAAATATATTTTCCTAGTTTGCCTTCTAATTGTATTTATTGTGACTTTTTTCATTCAAAAACTTTAAATTTTTATTTCAAAAACTCTGTCTTCTCATTTTGGATTTCTGTCTTTAATGTGTTTGGAAAGTCCCAGAGATTTTATGTGAACATTCGCTTGTTTTTGTCAGGTATTTTTATGGTTTTTTTTCTTTCCTTTTAGTTGTGCAGTTCTTCATTCCATCATGCATTCCTTCATGAATTTATTCAACATAATACTTACTAAATACATGCTGTGTGTCAGATACTGGGTCTAAAGTGGTGAACAGAGCACTTCTAGTGTGAGAGACAGTAAGAATTACATATTAAGTGTTAAGTGCTTATAAAGGTAAAGAATGGAGCTATGTGAGGAAAATTGAGGAGGAGGAAGAAACTTTAGGGTGGGAGTAGGTGATCCCATTAAAGTAGGGTCACCCTACCCTACCATGCTGATTGTTAGTCAGTAGTCTCACCAATGTCTAGACTAATCTGTCCTGTGGACTTAAGATACTGCCTCCGTCATTTAATGCATTCTTATATATACTAGTGTTAATTTCTGAACTGCTGTTTGCTCTGTTGATCAAAGCATTAGTCGGCCAGTACAAAACTATTTTAATTATTGGATTTCTGTTATGTGTTAATATCGCTTAAGCCGTATGTTTCAGCATTTCTTGATTATTTTCACAATTTGTTTTGCCATTATTAACGTTTATTCTGGCAGAATAAAAGAGTTCTCAAATTACACAAAGCAATCCTGTTTGGTTTTTGATTGGAATTATGTTAACGTTTTCAGTACAATTAGGGAAAATAAACATATTTAAAGTATTACATCTTCTGATGAAGGAGGCTTTTTTTTCCCTTTTTACTCATTTTTATCAGCTTTAATGAGGTTTAGGAACTGCCTATATGAAAAGTGTACAATTTGATACATTTTGACCTATATATACCCCTGTGAAATGATCAAGACAATCAAGATAATGAACATATTTATCACTCTCCGAGTTTTTCCATGTTTCTTTCTAATCTCTCCCTCCCACTATGTCTTTAGGCAAATACTGTTTATATACTTTCTGTTTCTGTAGATTAGTTTGGATTTTCTACAATTTTATATGAATGGAATCATGAAGTATGTCTAGCTTATTTTATTCAGCATACTTATTTTGAGATTCATCCACATTGCTACATATACCAATAGTTCATTTTTATTGCCAAATAGCATTCCATTGTATAGATATACCGCAGTGTATCAGTTCACTTGTTGATGGATTGTTTCTGGTTTGGGGCTTCTGCAAATAAAGCTACTGTGAACATTCATGTCCACGTCTTTGTGTGGACTGATGTTTTCATTGGGTCAGTACCTAGGAGTGGAATCCCTGATCACATGGCAATGTGTATGCTTAATTTTTAAAGAAGTTAACCAAACTGTTTTCTAAAGTGGTTGTACTATTTTATATTCCCACTAGCAGTATATGAGAGTTCCAGTTGCTCCACATTCTCAGCAACATTTGGTATAGTCTTTGTAATTTTAGACATTTTGCTGGTATATAGCAGTACCCCACTGTGGATTTAATTTGCATTTTCTTTATGACTAATTATATTGAGCATCTGTCTGTGTGTTTACTCACCATCTGTGTATCTTCTTTGGTAAAGTAACTGTTTAAGCTTTTGCTCATTTTTAAATTGGATTGTTTGTTTTCATATTATTGAGTTTTGATAATTCTTTATATATTCTGGATACAAGTCTGTTATCAGATGTGTGATTTGCAAATATTTTCTGCCATTCTTCTTTTCAGTCTCTTGATAGTGTCTTTCAAAGAGCAGAAGTTCTTAATTTAGATGAAGGCCTAATTTATCAAGGGTTTCTTTGAAGGATTATGCTTTCGATATTAAGACATTTTTCCCTTACCCAAGGTCACAAAGATTTTCTCTATGCTTCTCTTAGGAGTTTTATGATTTAATTTTATATTTAGGTCTATTATCCATATCAAGTTAATTTTTGTATATGGAACAAAATAAGAGCCAAGGTGGATTTTTTTTGGCATATGGCTATGCAGTTGTTCCACCCCACTTGTTGAAAAGATTATTATTCGTCATTGAATTGCCTTTGCACCTTTTTCAAAAATCACTTGGCCATGTATGTGTGGATTTATCTCTGAACTCTGTTTTGTTCCATGGACTTGTCTATATTTACGTCAGTACTGCACTGTCTGCAAATCAGTGTAATGTGCCTCTGCAAACTTTGCTCTTTTTCACAGTTATTTTGGCTGTTATAGATCTTTTGCTTCTCATTGCAAATTTTAGAGTCAGCGTGTCAAGTAGAAAAACATCTGCTGGGATTTTTATTTGTATCGTGTTGAATCTATACATCAGTTAAGAGTGACTTAAAAATATTGAGTCTTCTGATCCATTAACATGATTTATCTCTAGTTATGTCTTAGTAATGTTTTGTGATTTTCCGTATATAGGTCTCATATGCCTTATGTCACATTTATCCCTAAGCATTTCATACTTTTGATGTGGTATTTAAAAAAAAATTCTGGTTGTTGCTAGTATATAGAAATATAGTTTTTTGTTTCTTTGTTTTTTTGAGGAAAATTAGCCCTGAGCTAACATCTGCTGCCAATCCTCCTCTTTTTGCTAAGGAAGACTGGCCCTGAGCTAACAGCCATGCCCATCTTCCTCTACTTTATATGTGGGATGCTTACCACAGCATGGCTTTTGCCAAGTGGTGCCATGTCCACACCCCGGATCCAAAGTGGCGAACCCTGGGCCGCCGAGAAGCAGAATGTGCACACTTAACCACTGTGCCACCAGGCTGGCCCCGAAATATAGTTTTTTATATATTGCTCTCATATCTTGAACCCTTACTAAGGTCAATTTGTAGTTCTAGTAGCTTTATAGTAGATTACATTGGATATTCTAATGGACACTAATGTTGTTTGTAAATAAAGACAGTTTTACTACTTCCTTTGTAAACTGGATGCCTTTTATTTTTGTGTCCTGCCATTTTGTACTGTCTAGTCTGGTACCATGGGGTTTTACATTGATTGACTTTCCAATATTAAACTAACCTTGCATTCTGGGGATAAATCCCACTTGTTCATGATTTGTTAACTTTTAGATTTATTGTTTGGTTTCTAAATACTTGAGAGATATTATCTATTGTTTTCTTGTAATGTCTTTGTCTGGTTTTCGTATCGGAGTAATGCTGGCCTTATACAGTGAGTTGGGAAGAGTGATAAAGCTCCTCAAATATTTGGTAGAATTCTCTAGTGAAGACATTTGAGCCTGGAGTTGTCTTTGTGGTAAAGTTTTTAGCTACAAATTCAATTTCTTTAATAGACATAGAATTCCTCAGATTAACTGTTTCTTTTTTGGGAGGTTTTTGATTACTGTTTCAGTCTCTTTACTTGTGATTGGGCTACTCAGATTCTCTATTTCTTCTTGATTCAGTTTTGGCAGGTTGTAGAGTCTAAGAATTTATCCACTTCTGCTAGATTGTCCGATTTTTGGCATATAGTTTTTCATAGTATTCTCTTGTAATCCATTGTATTTCTGTGGCATCCCTTATAATTTCTTCTCTTTCATTTCCAATTTTATTTATTTGAGCCTTCTCTGTTTTTTTCATAGTCTAGCTAAGTGTTGTCAGTTTTGTTAATCTTCTCAAGGAACAAGCTGTTAGTTTCATTGATCCTTCCTACTGTTGTTTTGGTTTCAATTTCATTTAATTCTGCTCTAATTTTCATTATTTCTCTCCTTCTGCTGACTTTGGGCTTTGTTCTTTTTCTAGTTCTGTTAGGTATAGTTTGATTGCTTATTTGAGGTTTTTCTTGTTTGTTAATGTGAGCCTGTATTGCCATCAATTTTCATCTTACGACCACTTTTCCTGCATCCCATATGAGTTGATATGGTGTATTTTCATTTTCGTCTCCAGATAATTTTTGATTTCTCCTTTAATTTCAGTGATCCGTTGGTTGTTGAGTAGCATGTTGTTTAGTCTCTACATATTAGTCACTTTCTCAGCTTTTTTCTTGTAGTTGATTCTAGTTTCATAGCATTATGGTCAGAAAAGAGGCGTGGTATGATTTCAGTCTTCCTAAAGTTAGGAGGCTTGCCTTGTTTCCCAACCTATGGTCTGTCCTTGAGAATTTTCCATGTGCACTTGAAAAGAATGTGTATTCTGCTGTTTTTGGATGGGGTGTTCCATATAAACCTCTTCTAGTCTAGTGTTTCATTTAATTCCACTATTTGCTTGTTGACTTTCTGTCTGGATGATCTATCCATTGATGTAAGTGGGGTGTTAAGGTCCCCTACTATTACTATGTTGCTGTTAATATGTCCTTTTAATAGTTGCTTTATGTACTTTGGTGCTCCTGTGTTAGGTGCATATAAATTTCTAAGTCTTATGTCTCCTTAGTGGAGTGTCCCTTTTATCATTATATACTGTCCCTCTTTGTCTCTCCTTGCTTGTTTTATCTTGAAGTTTGCTTTGTCTGAAATAAGTATGGCAACACCTGCTTTCTTTTGTTTGCCATTAGCTTAGAGTATCATTTTCAGTCCCGTAACTCTGAGCCTGTGTTTGTGTTTAGAGCTGAGAAATGTTTCCTGGAGGCAGGATATTGTTGCATCTTGTTTTTCAGTCCCTCCAGCCACTCTATGTCTTTTGATAGGAGAATTCAGTCTATTTACATTTAGAGTCATTATTGATATGTGACAGCTTAATGCTGCCATTTTATCACTCGTTTTGTAGTTATTCTGTATTTCCCTTGTTTCTCGTTCCATGTACTTTGGACTGTCAATTCAGTTCCATAGTTCTCCATGATGGTTTTCTCTTTATTTATCGTTTGTGTCTCTCTTCTGATTATTGCTTTAGTGGTTACCATGAGGTTTGTATAAAAAAATCTCGTAGATGAGATAGTCCGTTTTCTGATAGCTCTTATTTCCTTAGTCTAAGCAGGTTCCATCCCTTTCCTCATCCCTGTCTACGTTATTGTTGTCACAACTTACTGTGTTTTGTGTTGTGAGTTTGTGGTTAAAATGATTATGATTATATTTGATGTTTTCTTTCCCTCTATCTTTAGTGTTATAATTGTTAACTAATGTTCTGTTAGAGAGCTGCAATTTTCTGATTTTGTCTGCCTGTTTATCTCCTTGCTCAAGGCATTGTATACTTTTTCTTTTTTCTTTTTCCAGGTATGAGGGCCTTCTTTATCATTTCCTGTGTGAGGGTTTTGTGGCAATGAGCTCCCTCAGCTTTAATCTGGGAAAGGTTTTATTTCTCCATCATATGTGAAGGATATTTTTTCTGGATAGAGTATTGTTGGCTGAAAGTTTTGTCTTTCAGAATTTTGAGTATATCATTCTACCCTGTCCTTGCCTGTAAGTTTCTGCTGAGAAATCTGCTGAAAGCCTGACACAGTTTTCTTTGTAGATATTTTCTTCTGCCTTGCTGCCCTTAATACTTGTTCTTTGTTGTTGACTTTTGCCAGTTTTACAAATGTATGCCTTGAAGATGTTTTTTTTACATTGATATAATTAGGAATTCTATTAGCTTCTTTTCTTGTAATTCCAGCTCCTTCTCCAGGCTTGGGAAGTTTTCAACTATTGTTTCTTTGACCAAGCTCTGTGCACCTCTTTCTTCTCCGTCTGGAATACCTATAATCCTTATGTTGCATTTCCTAATTGAGTTGGATATTTCTTGGAGAATTTCTTCATTTCTTTTTAGTCTTAGTTTTCGCTCCTCCTCCATCTGAAGCATTTCTATATTTCTGTCCTCTCATTTGCTAATTCTCTCCTCCATAATATAAGCTCTGTTATTCAAAGACTCTAGATTTTTCTTTATCTCATTCATTGTGTTTTTCATCTCCACCATTTCTGATTTTTTTTTTAATGGTTTCCATCTCTTGTGAAGAATTCCCTCTGTTCATTAATTTTCTTCCCGATTTCATTGAACTGTCTTCCTGAGTTGTGTAACTCATTGAGTTTTTCTTTGATAGCTATTTTGAATTCTCTGTCGTTTAGATCGTAGATAGATTTCTCTGCCTTCAGGGTTGATTTCTAGGTGCTTGTCATTTTCCTTCTGGTCTGGAGTGTTAATATACATCTTGATACTGTTTGATCGGGTGGATTTGTGTCTTCACATAGTAGTAGTATCTGATTGCGGATTCCACCTTCCAGCACTCCTTCCACTGCCTCCCGGGGGGTCCACCACCTCCACCTTCAGACACATGGCAGTGTGTATCTCTCAGACATCTGTTGTGTTGTGTGAATGTCCTCTGTTGGTTTATGGGTATCCTTTTTGTTGTATCTTAGGGGGGAGAGTCTAAGGGAAGAGCTCACTCCACCATGATGCTGATGTCACTCCTCTCTATTACTGTTTGAGTGAACTTAAGTCTGACTAGAAGGTTGTCAATTTTACTGATCTTGGAGTATCAGCTTTCTGGTTTCATTGATTTTTTTCTATTTCATTGATATCTATTCTTTCTTATTTTCCTTTTCTTGTCTGCTTTCACTTTAATTTGATTTTCTTTTTCCAGTTTCATTTAGCTAGAAGCTGAGGTTATTGATTTGTGTCTTTCTAATATAGGAAGAGTACTGCTGTAAATTTTCATCTAAATACTACATTAGCTACATTCCACAAATTTTATTATATTTTCATTTTCATTCAGTTCAGAATACTTTTCTAATTTCTGCTCTTTTTTCTTTGTTTCATAGATTATTTGGTTTAGTTTCCAAATATTTGTGGATTTTTCAGATATTTTTCTGATGATGATTTCAAATTTAATTTCTTTTTGGTCATAGAACATAATTTATATGCTCTGAGTTATTGTAAATTTATTAAGACTTCTTTTCTGTCCCTATTCTTCCCTCCCTTCCCCACCCCTATGATTCTTTTTCATTGATAACTTATAAATCATTTTTCTACAATAACCTTTATGTTTGCTTATGTTTGTTTTATGTGGTGTGTTAGAGGTGGTTCTTCATTGCCTATCTCAGCTAGGAGGCTCTGTTTCTATTTCTGTTTAGCCACTGACTTTTTAGATGATACTCACTAAGTAACTTTTTTGTTGCCTGTTAAAACCTAGGCTGAAGAGAATATAATAGTTATTGTAAGGTGTGAAGTATTGAAATGCCAAAACAAACAGAAAAGTCAGGTAGCATTACTTTTGTCTCCAAGGTAATGTGTATTACTGTTATTTCACCTATTAACAAAGCCATTGACTACATTTATGCACTTCTTAATTGCTTTATAGGCTTTTTATGGAAATTCTCAATGACTGTTCTGATGTGGATGAGATCAAATTCCAAGAAGATGGTTCTTGGTGTCCAATGAGACCGAAGAAAGAAGCTATGAAAGTATCCAGCCAACCGTGTACAAAAATAGAAAGTATGTGCAGAGTGGCAGCAGAGAGCATAGCAGTGAACTAATGCAGCATTGTCTTTCTCAGTAACCTTGGCCACTAGGACTATATTTGATTCTCAGTTTTCTGACTTTATCTTTTGATCATCTGTTACATGTGTAATTTCCCCCAACTGATTCTTTCCATAAGAGATGTGCTAAAGTTTATACCCTCCTATAATTAGCCTTTTCACAGTATGTTTTACATATGTAAAGTAAATGAAACAATCACCTAGGATCATTTTAATATATAGTGTTTGTTACAAAATGAAAAGTTATAAATGACATTTCTATAGGCGGTTTTTCAGAATTGTTTTTGGAGTTCCTGTACTTAGGATCCCCAAGTGGAGGTGTGGCTAGAGAACCTGCATCGTCCATTAATGGGGGGGCGGGGGGTGTCACATGTTAGTTGCTAAAAAAAAGTGGTACACAAACTGTTGCCATTCTTTGTGGAAAGGAATTTGACCATTGCCTTGGTGACCTGAGATGTACGACTCAGCCTTCAACTCTTTGCACCTGTCCAAACTGAGTGGCGAAACTCCACGGCAGTTTGAGTAATTTAAACCCTTAAGTGTGAACTTAAGGTTTCTTTTTATTTGACATAGTCCACTCACTGCATTTGCGTTCTGTGGTGACTATATTTGATATTCTAATAATGTAATGAATAATAAATGTTCAGAGTAAGAAGAGAGGAAAAAGTAAAGGATTTATGTCAATATTAATTATTCTTCTGTGACTGTTACTGAACCTCCTGGTGGAATGATTTAAGATTTCCCTCATCTTTGAGAAAAACAGTGACTTAATTGATTAGTTGCTGCTGCTTTTCCATTATCAACTAGCATTCATTTTTTGCTAAATAGATTGCAGGGCATAATATAGTTTCTCTGAAATGGTGAGTTAACATATGATGAAGTTCTGGCTTATGATGAAGAGCCTATACACTCTTTGATATAAACACGATTCCTTTGCTAGAATGGAATTATCTGATTTTGACTTAATGCTGCCACACGTCCTTGAGAATACACAGCCAGTGAAGCCACATACTCTTGTCCGTGGCCAGAGACCAGCCCCCTAACTCCAGAAGTCTGTCTGTAAAATGACTGCTTACCTGGGGAGACAGCGTGAGCAGCAGGATCTGCGCAAGTCGATTGGCAGTACTGGGGAGATGACTAAGAGCATGCTGTCTGAAGGAGGCCTTTGAACCTCTGTCAAGGCGTAGAGCTCATCTTGCCTCCCCAGGTAAGCAGTCATTTTACAGATAGATATCTGGGGTTAGGGAGTTGGTCTCTGTCCATGGGACAGAGTATGTCGCTTTACTGGCTGTGTATTCTCCCAGATATGCTACACATTTAACGCTCTTCTGGCTTGAGTTTATTTATGTTATACCTTTGGTTTTTAAATTTTCCTTTTGTTCTTATATGCAGGTTCAAGTGTCCTCAGTAAGCCTTGTTCAGTAACTGTAGCCAGTGAGGCAAGCAAGAAGAAAGTGGATGTTATTGACCTAACGATAGAAAGCTCTTCTGATGAAGAGGAAGACCCTCCTGCCAAAAGGAAATGCATCTTTATGTCAGAAACACAAAGCAGCCCAACCAAAGGGTTTGTTAATTTATAGTTCACTATTGTTTATTACCCTTGTGACTAACTGTTCTTGGGATAGGTTTGTAAATGTCTCTGAGAGTTGCATAACTCTAGAAGGCGATTTTTATTTGCCTTTGTTCAGTTGAAATATTTTCAGGTGAGCACAGTGTTATGGGAAAGCAAATTTTGATCAAGAAAATACTCCCATCTTTGGGAAGTGAGAGTTAAGATCTCATGTCTAAGTATTTATTTCATATTTGATACTTTTTGTCATTTTCTTGAACCCATCTGAAAGGAGGAAATTTGTCATCACAGACCAACATGAGGAAGCGTGGTGTAATGGAGTGTAGAGTTGGGAATCCAACAACTGTGGATTCCAATTTTGACACCATTACTTACTCATTCTGTGATCTTGGATGGACTTGTTTGAACCTCCTTTTTCTGTTCTGTAAAATGGGGTTAAGTAATGCCTACCTCATAAGATTATTTTCAGGTTTCAATAAGATAATGAAAAGAGCTTAGCCTCAGTGTTGGGCACATGTTAGTTTCTCAATAAAGATTGATTGCCTTCCCCTCTCACCCTCTCCAGGGCAAAATATGGGCAAGTAAATGCATTCTGGCATGTATTGTTTATGGTTCATCTGGCAGAGGCATTGCTGAACTATAGTAAATGACAGGTTTGAGTATTTAGCAATAGGTGCTTCTTGGAGATTTTGGAACCTGCAAGAAAGGACCAGAGGTTTATCTGGCATTCCGTGAACACATTCTTTTAAACTTGAGTGTGCCAGTCTTGATTTTTTGGCTTCTCACTGCACTTTATTTCTTCTAATGGTTTTATTGGGGTATAATTTATATACCATAAAATTCTCCCATCTTAAGTATTCACTTGCACAATTCAGTGATTTTAGTAAATTTATTGAGTTTGTACAGTCATCATCACAAATTCAGTTGTAGAATATTTCCAACATCCAGTAAACTTCTCTCGTGTTCATTTGCACTTAATCCCCATTCACACCCAGATCTAGGCAACCATTGATCTTCTTTTCATGTTTAGAAATTTCCAAGTTCTAGACATTTTATATAAATGGAATTATACTGTCAGTGCACTTCTGTCACATTCTTTTTTTATAGTTACTTTTGAAACCAGGAGAATTAAAACTTTTGTGTTGCCTTCTTCACTGTTAAAATATTTATATTTTTAGATATGATTTACACATAATAGTAAGGGTGTATATTTTCTTTTATCCATTTAAGCAGAATGAGACCTTTTTTTGGTGGAACAGAAAATGCAAAAAGTATTGCAAGTGGGTTTTTTTCTGGAATGCTGATCATTTATTGCTCCTTTCAGACAATTTGTTTAGCATGTCTAGAATTTAAATGATAAAAAATGAAATTATAATTTTGGAATGTTGACCGGAGTGGAGAATCATGGGAATGAATACTTAGATGTGGTGTTTCCAGATTTTACTCTCTAATAATATCCTATAGAATATGCTTGGAAAACATGAGTTGCACAGTATTATAGTTAGATGGATTCATGCCAGGTTGAATGGTTGTGCATAGTGATGCTAACTTATGGATTGATGTGGTCTTGGAGGGTGTCTCTTGTGGCATGCCATAAGGAACCACCCTCTATCTGTCCTTTAGCACATTTTATCAGTACTTGATGAAGACATGAAACTGGAAGAATGGCATGTACATGGGGTGACAGAATCTGAAATGGCTTCAATATGCAGAGGATAGTTCATACCTGTGGTCAGCTACCATAGAGATAGATGCAAGACTCCTCATCTAGGTTAAAAAGAAAATAAAAATTAATATTGTAACCATCAGCTGGATATTAGTGACTAAACCAGCAACATATGAAAATTTTTGTTTAAAAAGTTAGCTACCGGGGCTGGCCCCGTGGCCGAGTGGTTAAGTTCGCGCGCTCCGCTGCAGGCGGCCCAGTGTTTCGTTGGTTCGAATCCTGGGCGCGGACATGGCACTGCTCGCCAGACCACGCTGAGGCAGCATCCCACATGCCACAACTAGAAGGACCCACAACGAAGAATATACAACTATGTACCAGGGGGCTTTGGGGAGAAAAAGGAAAAATAAAATCTTTAAAAAAAAAAAAAAAGTTAGCTACGAAGCTCATTTTGTGAAATCAATATAACTCTTAATACCCAAAGTAGATTTATATGTTAACAGTCATACAGAAAAATCTTTATGAAATAGGCTAATGTGAAATGAAAATTCTGAATTCAATATTAGGAAATTATTTAATTATATATTAAAAGGGCATTCATTACCACCAAGTAGGGTTTATCCAAGAATGCTTTATTATTAGGAAATATATTAATGAAATGGATCTTGTCATAAGGAATACTATGTAGTCATCTTAATAGATGCTGGAAAAGCGTTCAGTAAATTAATAGCCATTCCTGATAGAAACTCTCTGAAATGTTAGAATTCATTTAATGGTTTGAAGAGTTTACCACTTGAGCTGATTTGTTCTTAGTCTCCATTAATAAAAGAAGCATAGTGTCTGGAAAACATACCATGCCAGTTTTGTTACATTTTGGGCTAGATGACTTTCACTTATACCATTTTACTTAGTGCTGGTCATCAAGAAGGGTATAAACAAATGAGTGCAGCCAGAGGAGGGGAACAGGATGGTGAATAGTGGAAACTGTAGCATGATGGGTGAATGGCTCTCAGGATGGAAGCTGTTAAGCCAGGAGAAGAGAATATAAGGTGTAGTTATCTTGTAGTTCTTAAAAGGGAGTCATTGTGATTAACTGGATTAAGTTTATCCTTTGTTACAACATTTGGTAGATCTAAGACCAAAGCAGGAAAGATACATGGAAACATGTTCAATTTGAGGTTTATGAACACTAAGAATGTTGATGTCTAGTGCTGAAATTACACTTTCTGTGTTAAGGTAGAGTGTGTGACATCTGTCACAGTGTCATAGTGGAGACTTATGCTGTGGTTATATCATCTCTGTAACCTTTTTCAACTCTTAAACTTTTGTGGTTTTGTTCCTGGTCATCCTTTTCATATCCTCTCTTGTGGCTCAGCATCTAGAATTTTTATGGTTTTCCTCTGCTGTGTAAGTTTGTCGTAGGACTTCTTGGTCAATGATAGTAAGCAAATGAGAAAGAATAGAGAATCAGAAACCAGGAAAACTACTGTAAGAGTCCAGAAATTATGTGAACAGTTATTTTTCAAGAGGTATTGTTTTAGTAAAAATTATTCTTAGAAGCAATTTTATAAAGCACCAAGAAGTAAAAAGCATTCTGCCTAGAGGTAACCACTGTTAACATTTTGATGGTACTCTTTCTGGCCCCTCTCCTTGTGTACCTATTCTAGTCTTTAAGTGCAGTCGTATAGTACCTATCAGAAGAAGCTGGCACTTTCATCTAAGATATTTTTCTACATTGAAAGACAATTGTAAATATTATGCCCCTACTCCATTCACTGGAAATTGAATGACTGCTTTGTCATTAATAAGGAGGTATTCTAAAGATGGGAAAGAAAGAATAGAGAAAAATATGTATTTCTCTAGATTAAGAATCATTAGGGATTGGTAGCAAAATTGAATCTTTTAAAAAATATTTTTATGATCGTAAAGTGGGAGTACACAATGAATTTCAGGTTTATGGGTAAAAGTTCAAGTTATTGGATTGTTAACTCATTTCCAGATGTCTAAGTGTGAGCCAACTAAGATGAATTCAGTAATCCAGTACACAGTCTAGAATACTAATACTTGCTATATTAATACTAAGTAGTAAATAGTATTAATTAATTAGTATTTATTAATACTAATACCAGCAATTTACTTTTATGCTGTGATATTATGGATGAAGCTATAAAAGTTAAAAATATATATGTGCATATGCATAATGTATCTGTCTGCCTGTTTGTGTATTTCTCAATCCTGTGAGGAGGCAGTAACAAATGTTAAAAGCTTTTTAAAAACTTGTATTACTTTATAGCATCACATTTTTATACATACAGTTCCATCAGACATAGCCATCAGACATTTACATTTCTCCATGGTCCCTGTTATTCCGTATCTATAAATAGATCTATTTTTTGCATGGGCATTAGATTCATTTTACCTTTCTGAATGTGATCCTTGTGAAGGTTCTGGTTAAAACAAAAATCTGCTACCAGTACATGGTTTGATAATTCTAACAAATGTTTAATTTCACTCATTCTATTTAAAGTTGCATTTGTGTTAATGGTTGCAAAGTTCAGGTAATAGAAATTAATCTACCCTAAATAGTTGGTTTTTCAGATGTTTTGCTGAGATTTTATATGTTGATTTAATAATTTGTACTCTCGTTGGATTTTACCGTTTTCACATGTTGTGATGGTCACCATTTTGTATTGGAGAGACAAGGAATAGTTATTTAATTTAATGTTATGAGAACAGAACATATGCAATAATTAGATATCTGTTACTATGATGACAGACAGCGTGTTGAACAGTGACCTGACTCCTGTACAGATGTAAGGAAAGTGGCCAGGAGAGGAAAGTGAGTCTTGTTGTTATTGTTTCCTATAAATGTGATCCACATTGAAGGGTCAATTCAAGATCAAGACAAAAGAAAATCTCCTGTGAGATATCAAAGGAAGAGATGGGGAAACAGGAGGAAGGCTGGCATTGTTTCTTTCTTGTGAACCTGAAAGTTTTCTTTTAGTTTCTTTGGTGTCAGAGGAAAAAAGATAGATTAAATGTACTTTTAAGTAGGAATTTTTTAAAATAAATGAAATCATATATGTATGTTTGTGTGTATATAGTGTGTGTGTGTGTATATATATATATGTCTTCAGAAGCTTGCATCTTAGATTTTTTAAAAAACATGATTAAGATGTTAATGCTGTGAGGAAGCAAAAGGAAAAAAAAACCTTGGGGCCAGCCCCGTGGCCACGTGGTTAAGTTCGCGCTCTCCGCTGTGGCGGCCCAGGGTTTCCCGGGTTCAGATCCTGGGCGTGGACATGGCAGTGCTCGTCAGGCCACGTTGAGGTGGCATCCCACATGACACAACTAGAAGGACATGCAACTAAGATATACAACTATGTACCGGGACGGGGTCGGGGGGGGGGGGGGTGGTTTGGGGAGATAAAGCAGAAGGAAAAAAAAAAAAAGATTGGCAACAGTTGTTAGCTCAGGTGCCGATCTTTAAAAAAAAAAAAAACGCAAAAACAGAGCCACTTTTTTAACCCCCTCCTCAGCACTAACACACCAGTCTCTTTCTCCTTCTTACTGCCTTTGCCCCTTTCCTAATTTCTGATATGCATCCCTGTGTGAGAAGTAGGATCATGTGTAATTTGAAAACACTTTTGGTGATTTCCCATTCTTCTACTGTCATCCCTGGAGAGGACTATTGTTTTCAAAACTCCAGAAAAAGATATGCTTTAATACAACGTAACTTATTTGATCTCATCCCAGGTTTTCTCTTTGCTCCTCTGGAGTCTGCCTTTTCTAACGTTGCTCCTCCTGCTTGTGGTTTCAGGTCTCTAGGTAACATGGAAGGCCAAGAAACATCCTCCTGATTGTAAGCTAGACAGGTTTCTCTGTGGAAGATGACTTCCTTCCCTCTTCATCTTCCTCTAGAAAATATGTTTTGAAATACTAGGCTTATGTTATTGTCTAAAGCATGTTATATTTCCTATGCCTCCTAAATGGTTCAGGTTTTAAAATTTTTCAACTCTGACCTATGTTATTTATTTAGTTTTCTGAGACTAAGACAGTTGCTAACTCTCAAGATGACTTTGTTTTCCATATTTCTGGTGACATCTATATATTTTTTTTTTATGAGAAGATTCACCCTGAGCTAACATCTGTGCCAGTCTTCCTGTTTTTTGTTGGTGGGATGCCTCCACAGCATGGCTGATGAGCAGAGTAGGTCTGTAATCAGGATCTGAATCCCCCATCCCAGGCCGCTGAAGTGGTCCTTGAGAAACTTTAACTACTCAGTCACAGGGTTGGCCCCTGACATCCATATTTTTGACAAATAGTACAGAATAACAGCTAGACAAGATCCTCATGTCATAATGCAAACTAGTTTTAGAAGAACTCCAGTGTCTTAAGAAGTTGTGATTAAGTGGTTTGAGATTTAAAGTGTATGAAACAGTTTGTCAGTTATTTAGAGTATGAAGAGTGTCATGCAACTGTGTCATCATTTCTTATTACTAGTATTTAATAATCTGAGCAATAAGAGGAAGTATTTGAACCAAGGGAAAGTACCTCTAGAAGTCCTAGTTGTCATCTCAGTCTAGCTTTGTGACCATCGTCTGTCTTTAAGTTTCTGTCGGTTTCACTTTCTTATCTTTCTAATGGTCCCATCCAGCTACCGAATTCTGTGCCTGTCTCATTAAGCTTACAGTAGTTTACTGTCAGCCCTTTGAGATGCTAACCTTAATGTCTCCATGTCCCTGCCCCCCTTTTTTTTAACTTAATAAAGTTTTATTTTTCAAAACGTACAGTTGGTGGGACCTGCTCATGCGTCTTTACTAGTAGCTGGGACATTTCTGCCCTTCTGGTGTAAATTATCTGAACTCTGTGCTTTGAAACCACTTTAATGAGTCCTTCACTAAGGAGCTCCTGAAGGGCTACCCTTGTCAGGGAACTGGGAATCTTCAGTCTCTTAGAGACAACAGCTGAGGTTATAAACCTATAGTTAGGAACTTCCTTACAGAGTTTTGCATATGAGGCTTTGTCAAACAAGACTAGGTTATTGAGCTTGTCTCAAACTTTGGCTTTGGACCACTTCTTTTTGCCCTTACCCCAGGATGTCTTCGCGTGGTCTTTATCTTTCTTGGCCAGCTTTCTGGCATTTATGTTCTTCTTCTTGTCCTTGGGTGGCATCGTGAAGCTCAGACAGCAGCTGGGACCACTGCGGCCCTGCTAAGATGTCAAACAAAAGATGGCCACTGTCAGCCATAGGGTCCATAACATTGCTTATTTCTTGTATAAATTCAAGATGTTTTTCTTGTGAAGTTCTAACTGTTTACCTTGGGCTAAGAGAAAATGAAGGTTAAATAGGAAGAATGCAAAATCATCTTTATGCCTGAACTTTTTCAAAAATGTTTATTATACTGCTTCTTGAAATTATAAAGTTATAATTGTATGCATTGTGTATATATATATAATACCAATTATAAAGTATTTAACTGTGTTTAATTTGTATGTTCAGTAGCATGACCAGCTAATTTCAAAGTCATAAACTCCTATTAGAAGAGTAGATCGTCTCATGGTAGCCGGTGTGTTATTTCTGGATATTATATCTTAAATCTTGAGTAGTTATTCTGATTTCTGATTGCTGCTGATTATCTTCAGGTTGGCTGGCTTTAGGATTGGCTTTCTTTGCTCAGGTGATTCCCAGATGAGGTTGCTAATAATTAACACAATTCAAGTTAGAATAGAAGAAATTCTGGTTAAGTTATAGTAAGTAGCTTCACTCATAAAGGTGTCCTGATTTAAATCAAATCTTAGGAGTCCTCTATTTCTAAATTTATTTATAGATAAAATTACTAATATCCACATATATGTTACACATACATTATTCAAAGCACTTGTAAAGTACATTTCTATTTGTGGATGAAAGTTTTATGTATCACTTCAGCACTGTACATTATGTTTTAATGCCAACTTGCTCTTATGTCACAGCTGCAGTTGAGAGTCAACATACGTTCATGTTAAAATGAAGACTGTTATGAAAGAGGAGAGTAGAGTGGAGTACTGTGTAGTGAGTAGCTGCCATATAGTTGTGTTGAAACTTAGCAATCTTGCGACTGAGAATGCCCAGCAGTGCCGCCCTTCTCTCCTGTGAACTAACAGCCAGATTATTTGTAATTTCCCATGCTATTTAAAACAGGGTTCTCATGTATCAGCCATCTTCTGTAAGGGTGCCCAGTGTGACTTCGGTTGATCCTGCTGCTATTCCGCCTTCATTAACAGACTACTCAGTACCATTCCACCACACGCCAATATCAAGCATGTCATCAGATTTGCCAGGTATGTGAAGAGTTTTTTGTTTTGTTTTGTTTCTACCAAGTTTTATTATTTATTTTTAATTTGAATCCATAGAGCAAAAATAGTTTTAAAATTTCAAATAGAAATGCTAAGAAAATTTGAAGGCTTCCTGTAAAGGTAGTATCTGTTTTAATACATCACATTCAATTCCTATCATTTTGACTAGAGAGCAATCTATAGAATCCTGATGATAGGAAATATAGTCAGATAGTAGGAAAATTTTATAGTTTATTCTCCCTCATAGAGAGTTTCTACTCAGAGACCGTTTCTTACTTATCATAGAAGCTTCACAGGTTAGAGAGAGTAGTTTTTCATACTCTTCTTAGTAGCCCATCAGAACTTCAGAATATACTGGTATATTGTAGGGTCAGTATTGCCTACCAGCTTTACCTGTGGATTTCGTTCCCTTGTAAAGGTAGGATCTGACAGCTGTTTCCCTAGAGTACTGCTTAATATTTAGGGATATCTTTTATATGCATATTAGCTCAACATTTAAAAAATTCAAGCCTGCTTGTATTACCTTAGTACCAAGATTTATGCAACCAAGACCATATTATACAATGTAAACTTTTTTTCTTTGGTGAGGAAGATTAGCTCTGGGCTAACATCTGTTGCCAATCCTCCTCTTTTTCCTGAGGAAGATTGACCCTGAGTTAACATCTGTGCCCATCTTCCTCTATTTTATGTGTGGGACACCTGCCATGGCATAGCTTGATGAGCAGTGCATAGGTCTGCGCCTAGGATCTGAACCGGTGAACCCTGGGCCACCGAAGCAGAGCATGCAAACTTAACTGCTATGCCACTGGGCCAGCCCCCAATGTAAACTTGTTTCTCTCCTCACTCTTGTATCCCTCTCTCCATAGCTATTGTTTTTGCAGACATTTTTTTATCAATCAAATTTGAGCAAGTTAGAAGCAGTGTCTCTTATATTCATGACTTCCTTCTCTCTCAAGGGCCCTTTTATTCTCTCCTTCTGTTGTTAATTTTCTTTTCTAGATTCATGAAGTTAATTTACACCTATTTTTTCTTCTTACCCCTCTTAGTGAGTTCTTTATTTTAAGCACAGTATTTATTCTGTTGGGCAAAATTTGTGTTGTTGAAACATTTGATAGTTGTATTATCTGACCTAGTGTAATTTGCCACTTAGAATTTGTTCAGATTATTTGAATAAAACTTAATGGGAAAAAAAAGACTAAGAATAATATGCTAACTCTGTACGTACCTTGGCAATTAGAGTTTAAAAAATTGTTTGTTAACCTATCTAGCACCAGTTTTAAAGTATTTATTGTGTACAAAGCTTGATGCTAAGGTACAGGTGAGGTTTCATGGTCTATAACAAAGATGGAAACTTGGAGATTCTTAATTCCAAACTGCTATGTTTCGCTTTAATTTTGGCTAGTTGTAAGTGAAGTTGAAGAGTGTCCATGTCATCTTAGTATGTGTTTTAAACAAGCATTCCAGAAGGACTTGTTTCCTAAAGACCTTGAATTAAAAATCCTGAAAAAAAGATAATGAAATTCTGTTTGTTAAAGTGACCCTGGCCATTATTAATAGCATAGACATAATTTACAAATCATTTGCTCTGTTTTCAAGTTATGTGAGTCTAGATGAATTTTTAATTTGTGAGAACTTCGATTATTTCATAAATTTGGCATAAAGTGAGACTATTTATAAAATGTGCAGATTAGAGAAAAATGTAAAAATATGTTAACCGTGTATTTGGTAAAATACATTTCAACCTGGTATTAAGGAAATAAGACTGATATCCATGGCTGATATTTAGCCTATATAAACCATGGTGATACTGGTTATTAAAATGTTGAAATGCTTTCTTACCAGTTGATAAACTGAACAGAATAGGATCTGTTGTACTTTAGAAGAATTAGCAGTTTATCATCATCTATGAATTATGTAGCAGTTACTACATCCAAATAGTTTAGTTTTTACTTTGGTTTTATTGTTAATGTGCTCTTTTGTAATTATTAATTACTTTGGTTTTATTTTTGTGCATAATTTTTGTGTAATTAACCATACTGTACAGTTTTGATATTTATAAGTTTAATACTTTATAATAAAATATTAAATAGAGCACCAAGAATGGAGAGATGACAAAGTTTTAATACATTTCTTAACATTCCTTTTAAACATCATAAACATGAATCTTCTGAATCTGCAGGAGAACAAAGAAGAAATGATATTAATAATGAACTGCAGCTGGGAACATCTTCTGATACTGTGCAACAATGAATACAAAATAAAAAAATAATTTGTATTTATGGAATGGAAAACAGCTTGATTATTTCAAGAAAAAATATGACTGCCTTATTATTGCTAGTGCCATATTGTCAGGTGCGAATGGTGCTCAAAAGTTGTGTCATTAAAATTTGGAAGTGCTAAATATTTACATATTTAATCGTGTTACAATCATGTTTTGTTAAAGTTCATGGCTCAAGTAAGGAAAATGTGTTGTTATTAGTAAGGAAAAAACTAAATGAGTCAATTTCACATAAAGAAGCGTTTAAAATCTAAAAACTACAATTTTATCAGTGTTAATAAAACAAAAACATTTAGAATGTATCAGCAGAATTTTTAACACTACCTGAGTTTTAAAAATAATTGAGAATTTCCAACCACAAAATACTAAGGAGGGCATAAAATATATCAATACCACATATCATTGCAATTGAAACTTATGGTGAAATAAGAAAACAGCATTTTGCTAAACTTATAAAACAAGGCAGTAACATTTTAATCTCTATTCATGAAACTTTATTTCATATAAGAGTTTTAATAGTCTACTTAAAGTGTATAATGCAAGACTTTGATAATAGTTTAAAGATTTTTATTAGAAGCAATAACATCTGAAATATTATATCAAACTTCACTGTTAGTGTTTGAGAAAAAATGGTTTCAGTGAGAAATATTTTACATTAAAATCTTGTTGGATTTTGTATGGACAGCATCTGTGTGATGCTAGGGAGACACTAGAGTTTTAACTGAAAATATAGAAAAATTTCTAGGTATTTTTTTATGCATTGTGTAAGTCACCATATTCAGTTATCCCTGGATGAGGTGTCAAAAGATATAGAGCAAGCAAATCTCTTAAATCTCTTCTCAATAGACTGTATATCTCCTGACACATGAAATTATAATCAAAGAGAATTACTTACAGTACATCTGAAGAGCTGGGAATTGAAATAATGAAAATATAGTTTTTGCACCTTGATGGGCAGCCTCCAGAGCTAGAGCTGTAAAAGCAGTTTGAAAATTATATCAAGCCTGTGTGTTTATTTAAATTGAAGTTATGAGATGGGAATCGTTAAATATTTAGAAAATGAGCATTTTTGAGTGTTTTGGCTTCAATACACAATATTCCAACAGACATATCAATACTTTGTTTACCTTTATTTAAAAAGTTTCAGTTATTCAAATGGACTGAGTGATTCAACAGATGTTTAAAGTTATTGAACATATTAAATAAACTATAAAAAGCATAGCTATTAAAAAAGAAAAATATACCATTTCAAGTAAAACAAAGTTAATAAAATTAAGCCAATTAAAGACAAGCTAATAAACTGTTTTTGTGACTTAGTCAATAATAGAAATGTTGAGTATATAAAACTCTCAAAAAGTATTATAAGGAGACAAATTTTGAATTACTCTTCATCAGAAGCAGAGAGAGGATTTACTGAACAATGCTATTAATGTGAAGAGAAACTCTGAGATATGTCATCTACTGATTATCAGCTTAATGGAGAAGTCTTTGAAAGAGTTTGTTGTGATTCCCTTTGTCCAGTGTTACCTCAAACTGTTGTATCATATAGCTAGTGACAGGCATATAAAATGAAAAATAATATCAACAGTTTTAAAAAATGCTTTAGAAATTGAATGATTTCTCTCAAATGACTGGTGCTCCAGCTTGTATCACTTGATAAGCATTTTTTATTATACCCTTATTTAGAGATTATAAGGGAATGAATATACTTTAAATTTTTGAGTTATAAATTATTCATACTGGTTATTAAATATTTTAAATATCCCCACTCATATTCTCTGTTTTGAGTAACAGTCTAGTATCAGACTTCATTCTGTATGATTGTTATATTTGAGATGACATTGAATGCCAGCATATAAAACTTCATAGGATTGAGTAGAAATTGGCCTGTTTGGTGTGTGACTTTTTTTATTGTTTTGAAATTTAGTCAAACAGAGAGGTCTAGGGGAACAGACTTTGAAATTTATTGCTAGACTTTTCAGACCTGAAAATTGTTAGAACTTTCATCCTTCAGATGGTATTACTGGGCAATGTTTTACACATTCCTGTTTCTAAAGCATAATTAGAGAGTCCTAGATCTTTGGTTTAGAAAACTGCATTAGCTTATAACCCAGTAAACCTTGATAAAATTTAGCTTGTTAGCAGCAATTACCAACTGCTTGCTTTGTGCAGAGCATTGGACTGTGTATTCTTGATGTGGGAGCAGAGGGACAGAGCTATCCATGAAATAGACATTTGTTTAAGAATATTTTAGATGAAGCTCAATGTAGTGTATTTCTTAAAAATAAATGTGAAGTATCTTAAGAGCCTAAGTATGTTTTTTTAATGGTCTGAATCCAGATCATTATCTCATCATTTTTATTGCTTCTCATTCTGTTAAGCGATGAAGGGGAAAAGTTTGTTTGGACTAGTCCTACTTATCTGGAAATTTTTGGACTGCTTCCTCTGAGTTGGTGGGAGGTGGTTTTTCCAATTGTTTTGTCAGGGAATCTGTTCATGTTGGGGTTTTACGCACATTAAATATGACTGATTATGATATAGAACTTCTCTTTGGCAGAATGGTAAGGACTTACCCCAAATGTTTTATGACTTATGATAAATACAAAGTGATTTTGGGAAATAATTCTTGTCTCCAAAATATGAGACAACTATTAACAAAGCATTTTTGTTTTAGGTTTGGATTTTCTTTCCCTTATTCCAGTTGATCCCCAGGTATGTATCCTGAATTTAAGCAACTAATTTGTATTTGATTATTGGTTATGTCATACTATCTAAAAATGACCAGTTGCATAAAATCAGGACAGTCAATTCTCAGTTACTAAAATTGATGGAAAGGAAGTACTATATAAATATTTCACAATTTTATATGGAGGATTAAAGTTGCTGTTTTTCAGTGTACGATATTTTGGCCTCAAAACCTGAGTTTTTAATTATATTTTATTTAGTTTAATAATTAGTTGGCATTTTTTACAAGCATTTGAGTGATTAAAATGAGGGAAAGCAGTGTTAGATGGCTGGCAGTTAAAACTTTACAAAGATAATTTGTAAAACACTTGTTCTATACGTAGAAAATAGCTGCAGCTGATTAAACAGACTTAAATCATTAGCTTGATTCTTCCTTGTTTTTAAAGGCAGTCAGATGCACATTTTGGGGGTGCCCCAATCTAAAGTTGCGTATAGACCAATCATTCCTGTTTTTTTTCTGTCAGAGATAAGAAACTCTAGTATCCCAGAGTCTCAACAAGAAGACCTTGCAGTGAGCATGGACTCCACTGACAGGCTTATAGAAGAGGCAGAGTAGAGGAGAAAGAGGCATGGGAAAACTGTAATGGGAGAGTGAAGCAGAAAGAGAGTAGAGAGTAGGGAGGGATAGAGGAAGACCATGGACCACTGCTTCATTTGCTGCTCAGAATCAGCTAAGCACAGATCTTGTATCAGCCTCCTGTTTCAATACGCTGTCCGATCACACAAACAGCACTGGGAATTTGGGCCCAAGGTAATGTGCAGAATGAGGAATTTCTTCTCACCCTGAATTGACTCTGTTACATCAATAGATTCTATAGCAAAAGTATCCATATATTTTTCTAGAAAATGGATTTTTCAGGCTTAAAGTATTCTGATTTTCATGTGAACTATCCTTTTCAAAAAAAAAGTTTTGGAACCTAGAGGATTTTGATTTCATAGTCCTATTTGGCATGCTTAGTGTCAGGCCAAGTTATTTGATCAGCCAGTAAGAAGGGTGAGGCTGTGCCTTCAGTTTTCCTTAGAATCCTTAGATTTCTTCTACTTTACCTCCATATTGCCCCCTTAATCCCTTGTGCAGATATGTGCCAGTTACACATAAAGCATACATAGAGGTAAAATGGCTGCAACTTGAGTATTATAAGAACTCAAGGCATAGAGTCTTTGATAGCAGGGCTATAGTAGCTAGCATCCATTTATAAATGAACAAGAATACTTTTACTACTAGTAGTGAACACTGCCTGAGAGGTAGCAAAAACAAAATGGAAGTTTCTGGGCCTTTTTCCAGACTCTTTTCCCAATTTTAGTGGAAAGTTGGAAATTGATTTGATTTTAAAGAAGTTTAATACCTGACAATTCAACTATCTTTAGAGCTCCTTAGAAACTCTTTAAGAACTATTCCTTCTCCCCCTTAACCAGTGTCCCTGGAAGATCTTTGCATGGCGTTCATTGAATTGATGAACCAAGATAGTTGTCCATCCCAAACGTTAAATTACTTTTTTAAAAGGCAGCCTGAATTTTAGTTGTTGCTTTTCCCTTGACGGCAGCTTAAACCTGGGGCTGTCGTTTCCATTTTATGATCTTTTTGAAGCTCATGTAGTCTAAACAGCTTCAGTTTTAAATTCCTGTTCTGTAACGTAGTGTCTCTAAGGATAGGCTGACTGATATACAGAATTGATACTATTGATTGGATATCCTTCCTGATCTTCTTTCATACAGTCAATCTAAAGACAAACTTAGGACATCTCTTGCATTATATACTGGACCTCACTTATTTTACTAAAGTCAGTGCAGTTGTTTCTCACAGAAAATATTCTACAGTGATATAAAATAAAGCTTTTAGCTCTTGTCTCTCTCTTCTACTCTTAGTCAATATTAGAGTATTAAACTTAGGTTTGAATTTGTTTGGGACTTAGCAACCAAGATGGTAAGGAAACTTGAAATATGAACTGTTGGAGTAGGGTGTCAAGCGAGCATCACAAGGAAGATTACATTCGATCTCTTTTAAGATTTATTCCAAAATTTTGTGATTACATGAGAGAATTCTTTGTTCTGAACATCCTGTGGTAGTTAGCTACCATGTAGTCTCTATTTTAGAATGAATGCTATCCTTCTAATTATGCAAGGATTATTTCTGTACATACAAAGGAGTCAAACGCTGTTATTCAGCTGATCAGTCTTTTAACATTCCTAAAGAGTCTGATTGATACTAAATTTTGAAAGAATTGCTGAATTTTGCATTAGCATTTTTGTTTAATACTATTAAAAATAAGTATTTATTAACCTTTTATAGTGTGATTTAAACTTTGTGTAAATATATTTAGTGAGCAAATTCTTTTTGAGATTATGAGTCATAATTGTGGGGCCAATATTTACTATTAAATAACTTCAGTTATTATTGACATTTTTGTACTTGTACCTGTGTATTTGGTCAACACACAAATTCTACAAGTTTTGAGAGAATGAAGGATATGCTGCATTCACTAAATAATGTAAAATAGCTAAATTCATGCCACCTTCCATCTAAAGATGTGAATTTTGAGAAATCTTTAAATCCCACTGGAATTTAAATATGTGGCTGTCACTTGTGCATATCTGACAATTTCTAGTCTCTATTTAAAATCATGTAGCCAGTTCCTCATCGGCATCATTGTTTGTTTCAAGCAGTACTGTCCTCCTATGTTTTTGGATAGTCTCACCTCACCCTTAACAGCAAGCAGTACGTCTGTCACCACCACCAGCCCCCATGAAAGCAGTACTCATGTTAGTTCCTCCAGCAGCAGGAGTGAGACAGGGGTCATAACCAGCAGTGGAAGTAACATTCCTGACATCATCTCATTGGACTAAAGGAGGACTTACTCGATTCTAGGAATCATCAAAACTGCTCTTTCTTGGATCTCTGGTCCGTGGAAACTATTTTTTTGGTAACAATTACTTTGATATTTATTGAAACGTCAAATGGATTCTTTTGCTTTCTGAGAGATGAACACAGATGACTACAGCAAGAACCAAATGACATGCAAGGATTTTTCTTATTCATGCTGTACTCTGAACGTCAGATACTTTCACCCATAACTGTATCTTCTTAAGAGGTGGATTTCAAGTTCATATGTTACTGGATGGATTCTACAAGTTAAAATTTTTTTGTTGTAATAAACAGCAATAAAGTTATGTAAATATTCAAGTAAACTTTAATATTCAAGTAAACTTTTTTCTAATTAAAAAAAGATGTAATCAGTGATTCTAAAATGATAGCAACTTCTGTTTTAACCTGATGTGAAGGAAAAATATATGGAAAGAAGTATGTTTGTTGAATGGGTCCTTTCCACGGAGATTTGTTCTGTTTTGTTGAAGTAATGAAATCTTGATATGTGGCCAAAGCTTGGGTTCCACTTTTCTTCTTGATTCCATCAAAGAAAATGGCCTTTGTGTTAAGCATTTTTCCCTGGTTGTCATTTACACTTTGACGTTGTTTGCTAATGAATGCAGAGTGAAGTTCTGGGATTTGGCTGCTCTTTATTAGTGATGACGTTGAAGAACACTATGCAGTTTCTGCCCTGACATAATGTGTATTATATTTGGTAATTGTACATTCTCATTCTAGAGATTTCTGTAAATTTGGGGCTTGCCTTCTCATAAAAGAAGTTCTATGCAGCCGTTGAATGAAATGTTTTTGGAGTAAGGTGTGACTGAGATGTTCCTTAGAATTTTGTTTGCACTGTCCAAAATATTGAGAGATGGAGGCAATGGAAGAACAGATTTAGGGGAGGTGGGAATAACAAAGTTTAGTTTCTTCCTAAGAACTTCTTTTGCTCATTTATTTTAAAGAATAATATACAAGTCTTAGTTGAAACTTTTCAGATTTTAGTAACATTGACAAAATACATTTTAGATCTCTGATCATATTTCTCAATTTCTGCCTCACAGTAATGATCTTCAAACTTAAAGAAAAAACAAACAATAGCAAGGGGTGGAGACAGCATCACATTTCTTTTTCTTTTTTTAAAAGGAAGTCTTTCCTGAACCCACGAAAGACAAAACAGAAATAGAAAATGTTTGCATTTAAGTAAGGAAAGGTTGAGGAGGATGGGCCTGAAGCCCATTTTGAAAACCACTCTGTTCCTTGATTTTAAATCCCTCAGGAAACTGAGTTTTACCCTTAGAGAAACATTTTCGCCCAAATTTTGTATTTTCCTTTGCTTCATTTGGCTTCCTAAATAATTTTTGAGTTCTCAAGAAGTTAATACTTCCTTAATGTCTAGCTGTCTCTCCCTAAGCCGTGTCTACTTTAAAAACAAAACCTTTTTTCTAAATGACTGATTTCTCAAACTGAAGTGCCCGCATGAAGACTCTACCAATTTCAGTTAGAATCGGGACTCCTTGCTTCAGGGTTGCTGCACCTCCAGGGGGCTGACTCGTCACTGCTTAAGTTTTTTATGCCTTCTCAAGTTTTCATGGCCTCTGTGCTCCCTTTGTGTCAATTTAACTTTGTGATTTTCTACATCATCCCCTTGACGCATTTATCCCTTTTGGAGAGCTGCTGATTATTAAAACGTGGAAAACCAACCTGAATCTTCTCACAGTAGTTAGACCATAGTTTTACCTTTTTAGTCATTAGATTTCCAGTTCATGTTACAGACCTTTGGTCCAGGAGATAAAGAATTTCTTCCTAGTAAAATTTTATGTTGCTGCTCTAAATACAGATGCAATTTCAGTTAACTCTGTAATCAGATAGAAAAAGTAACCTGATTTGTGTGGTATAATTTGTTAATAAAGAAATGGTGTATATTTATCATTTTGTTACCCTTTAGATTCTCAGAGACTCCCCCCCCCCCCAGTTTAACCAACAGAGTTTTATAAGGTAAATGAAAATATTAATAGAAATTAGTTTACTTACTTGGTTTTTGTAACTAGTATGTCTGTGCTTTTATAGTTGTGCTTTGTTTCCTTTTCACTATTCTGTGTGAACCGTTTTAGTGTTCATTTTTGGTGCTTTACACTGAAATTACATGTAAGTTTTTAATTTATCTCATAGAGGTTACTAACATTTTAAAAACGACATTTTTCAGTTTATAATCTTAAAATTGGGGCTTATGTTGTATATGTATCTTTGAAAGTGAGTACTTTTCTTTATGGCTTTGACCTTAGGATAACAGCATGAGTATTAAGCCATTATCCTTTTTTTAGTACGGTCACTAAATATTTTTACCAAGATCCTCACTTTTTAGCAGTTTATTTTACTAGCCCATATTTCTACTTAATCAGGTATAATGCAGTTTCAGGAGGAGGTCATCTTAACTGTTATTTAGATGTCAGCGAACGGGTGATTATATGGAATATCTTGTTTAAGGAAAGGAACTGCAGTTACTAGTCTCTTATAAACGCTTAGCCAACCCAGATTTTCATCTTTATTCATATGGAAATATTGAGGGCTTTTCTTGCTTTGGTAACTCAACAATGTAATTGGTGCTGAATATAGCTTTACCCCTACAGTCTGCTTACATTCACTAACGTTCTGGCCCTTAGGTGAGCCACTTTAGGATTTTATTTCCATTTCTGCCCAGAAGGTATAAATATTTGGCATCTATCATAGGATAATTATAAACTCCAAATGAAACAGTAGAGGTAAATTTAGGTTATGGAGCATTTATCTGATAATGTGTTTCAGGAAAGCTAGAATGAAAATACCATGGTTAGGTGACAGATAGTCTAAATAAGTTGATCCGTAACTTTTGGTATAAAACAAGTTTCCCTAGGTTAGAATCTTAAGAAATTTGAAGAAAGGTAAAATGTTGGATTTTAGGTGAAGTGGTGTTCAACAGAGACTGTGCTGACTTTGAGATTGAGACCTTTCAGACATTCTGGGTTCGGACCAGTCCTGGACACTTGTCATTTAGTAACCAAGTTGTCTGTTTTTCTTCTGCCAATAAAGTATTCATGAGTTACATTTTGTCTTTTTAAGTAAAGTCAGTTTTTACAAAGCATTAGTTTAATTCTCAGGTATACCTTTCATTTCTCTCCAGCCCCCAAGTGGTATATAAAAAAAAAGGCACTTCACTGTTTCTTTTTTTCTTTTAGTAAGCACTTTTATTTTCCTAATTTTTTTGTCTTGGAAAATGTAGAATGGTATGCCATTTAAACTTGGGTCTCACATTGTATTTTCTGGCCCTGGATCCATGTGGTGTGGCAGCTTGGAGTTGTGATTTAGATCAATGATTGATGATTCAACCTGAGTCACCATCTTTTCTGCTACAATTCTACATGAATATGGTGAAACTTGTGGAAAAGAATTTAAGAATTTCTCTGCCTTTTTAAGAGTCTGATCCACCTGTCAAGTAAATGACTGGTTTATAAGCCACCTTTTTTTGTTATTAGGAACGACACTCCAATTCCTAGTAGAAACAAATAAAGCTATGTAAAAATGCCCATTCTTCTTTGATGCTTGCCTGATTCAGTAATGTTTTTTGTTTATGTCAGTAAAACATGCTCATTGTGGAAAATTTAGATAATACAGAAAAGTATAAAGAAAAATAATTGCCTCTAATTCTATCACACAGGGAAAAAAACCACTTTAATATTTTTGCATATTTCTTGCCAGTCTCTGCTACTTGTGCGAGTTTTTACACAGTTTCATTCATTTTCAGTATAATTTGTATCTTGAGTTTTTTCCCTCAATTTATAGGCATTATTCCATGTCATTACAAACTATGTCAGCCTTTATTAATTACATTATGTTCCATTTTTATGGATGTGCTGTGCTTTGTGTCATCTTTCCGCATTGGACATTTTAGATTGCATCTCATATTGTTACAGTGAATGTCTTTGTGCATAAATTGTTTCCTTAGGATAAATTCCTAGAGGTGGAATTTTTGGGTCAAGGGTATGAACACTTTTGTAGTTCTTGATTCATACCACTTGTCCAAGTGGTTTTACTAATTTATAATCCAACAATTTGGTATAAGAACAACGGTCTGACCATATTTTCATAGAATATGCACCATTTATTTCTATGCAGGCATCTGCACTAAAGACCCTCTGCCCTGCTGACCCTGGTGAGCTGGGCTGGTTTGGAGATAATTGGCAGAGATTTTCCTGGGCTGTCTCACTTTCAAATATCTACCTGACATGTTCCAGAAACTTCTACATATGGATAGCTAAATGATTTTTCATATAGTTTTACTTGCACTGTGAAGTAGCCCATCGTCAGACTACATTTTCCATTTTTAGTTAGAAAATCTTGACCCCTTTTTTTTTTTAAACCATTTGTGCCTAGGGCTAGCCCTTAGTAGCCAGCTCTCTTTTTTTTCCTCTTCCTGTAGGCTCCATTTTGGCCTTTCTGAGCTCCCCAAAGCCAGTAGGATCTCGTGAGCCAAAGGCAGTCCAACCCAAACTGGAAAAGTGGTAAGGCTAAAACAACAAAAGCAGGGCCAAGCTTTGCCTGTTTCTGTTGGTATTCTTCTCTTTCCAGTCAGATCTTGGTGTTCTAAGGGCAGCTGTGGGGAAAGAAACACAGACTGCTGTCTTCAGATGTTCAAGGTGCTATTTTCTTGATTGGCATACCACAGTCATTATTTCCCAGACTGCTTTTTATTTCTGAATGGCTTTTAAAGCTTCCTTTATTTTGTGTTGTCTAAGCTTAACTATTTCAAGTGAAGAAGAATGTTGCTGTGCTATAAAATAGAATATGCCTCATTTTGGCCTTCATCAAACTACTCCAGAGATACTCAGTATGTTTTGTAAGTGAATGTGGGATGGAGTATTATAAAAGATCTGGTCCCAGACTTCAAAGGGCTTATAATCAAGTTTTCAAAAATCAAGAATTCTTCCCTATTAACAGTCATTGTGCTAAGAACTTTACAAAAATGTCTCATTCGTTATGACAGCCTGTCAAAGGAAAGTGGTATTGTCCCAGTTTTACAAATGAAGAAACAGATAAGTTTCACAGTGGACTTGAGAGTCTGAAAACAGACCTACCTGAAAAGCTCTCTGACTTAACAGAAGTTTAAACTAAAGAGGAGACTGATATGGGAATCTCGACATAAAATGATGAGAACTGATTTCAGCTCATGGCCACAGGAATAAGGAAGGAGTGAATATTGGAGCCATTTCAAAGGAAGACTGAAGATTCAGTGTTTGAATGGATATAGGAGTAAGGGCTGAGTCCATTTCTCAAGCCTGGGTAACCAGGATATAATGGTGCTGTTTACAGAGACAGGAGGCAGTTAGGATAGAGGTTAGTCATTTAGTGAAGACAGTAAAGAGTTTGATGTTAAGCAGAAAGGAAGTGTCCATGAAGCTCATCCTTGTTTTTCTGCTGTCTTTCAAGAAATGCAAAATTCCCTTGTTCTCCATTTTAACCTTCACTTGTCTCCTTTCTGTATAGTTTAGCCACTCCCAGTTGCCCACCCTCCGTCTCTCCTCCCAAAACCATGCTCCACTACCCCTCAACCTTTTCTTTTGATTTTTCTCTTCACTGCCTTGCCATAACAAATTTGGCTGTTACCTGAAGTCCTGCCATACCCTCAGCTCCCACCAGTGAGCTGTGTCCACATTCCACATATCTCAAGAGGTGGTAGTGCCCTTTCTCTCTATTGTAATTTCTAAATAATTTCTCCTGACAGGAGGGTATTACTGTCAGCTGCCTCTGCTCTTATCAAGTAACCTGTTGATCACCCCCTTTGATTTGCGAAGGCTTCACTTTGTGACTCACAGCGTTCCTTACCATCTCTAATTCTGTAGCTGTTCTCAACATCTTCAACATTCTCATGGATGACCCATCTAACAGTCTAGCCTGTGCGATTTTTGGTTACCTCACCAACATTTTCTTCCACTGAAACTCCCTACCACTGTCTCACCGCTTCTGTTTTCTCTATACTGCCTGTCCCACTTAACACTGCTCCTTCATTATCACAGCCTTAAACATGTCCTCCAAGTCACCTGTCACCCTCTTGACCTAATATCATGTGGTTCTTTGGCCTATTCTCATCAATTATTACAAATATTCCCACTCCTTTTCAAATCACACCCTTCTCAGCAGGTAATCTTGCTTCCTAATTCAATCAGAAGATTGAGTACATCAGCGTGATTTCTCTCCACCTATGCCCACCTTCATCCTTCCTCCTTAATTCCAGTCTCAGAGGCTGAGGTGGGCCTTTGACTCCTGTTTCCTCCTGTCATCTTCAAGACGTTCCTCCACCACACTTTTCCTCTTTCCTCCACGTCTTTCACCTCTCTACTGCTGCTTTTGGCTTACAGTCTCAGTCGTCAAATATTTGAGATCCTATTACATGCCAGGCATTTTATCAGGCACTCGGAACACAAGATAGATTGCTATATACCTCCACCAAAGTTGTACTCCAGGAGAATATACAAATGAGTAAAAGAGGGAGATTACAATGCAGTGGTAAAAGGTGAAGTACAGGGTGCGACAGGAACACAGATGAGGCAACTAACAGATTTCATGGAAGTAACATAAAAGTAGGAACATGAGTGTTGATTGGAAGTTTGTCAAAGTGAGGACTGAAAATGTTCAGAATAGCTGGAAATTTGCTAAGGAATAGTAAGAGAACTATATAAGAGATCATGAAGGGCCCTGTAAAGCAGTGAGAGGCATTGAAGAGTTTTCATGATCATTAACAGTAATGAGCATTTGTTGAGTTTGGTATGAGTATTTCCATTTTACAAATGAGGAAGCAGATTCTGAGAGGGTAAGTGACTTGCTTAAGGTCATGCAGTTTGTAAGTGGGGAGCCAGGCTTCAATCTCAGCTTTTAACTGCTTTCTCAGAGAGGCCTTCTCTGATCATTCTATCTAAAAAGTAGTGTTTCCTAACTATCCTGATCACATCGCCCAGTTTATATCCTATATGGCACTTATTACAACCTGTGTTTATTTTATGTATTGGTTCACTATGTATTGTCTGTCTCCTCTACTAGATTGTAAGCTCCACGAGGGCAGGGGTGATCTTACTTCACTTGCATCCCAGAGCCTGACATGGTGTGTGGTGCATAGTAGGTGCTCAATAAATACTTGTGAACAAAGAAATGGTGGGTAACTGTATTTGACTTACGCTGACTGTGGAAATCATTTAATACCTGAGCAGAAGGCATTCACCAAGAGAGGAAAACAAGAGGAGGTGCATGTTTGGGGCAGGTGGTAGAAATGAAAGGTGCTGGAGAGTGGGGAGGAAGTCAGCACACTGACCTAGACACGAGTCTTTCTGGGCAAGGGCTTAGAATGGGGCATTGGTAGGGCATTACACAGTGGGGATGATAATGTGTGAACAAGCGTTGTATTAAACCTGAAAACCTAAGTGACCCCTTGTAGTCCCAGCCTACTGTATATGTAAGACTGGAAATTCTGCATGTAATGTACTCTGTATAGTGAGGACCACTCCATCTGAGTCAGATACACCACACTGAATTATACAATACAGTTGTAGGCGTAAACATTCTAACTTCTGATCCTCAGTCTCTCAAGGCAAACAACTTGACCTGAGTCATTACTGGGCTCAGTACTTTGGAAATGGAACGTTAACCTGATGTCTCTGGAAGTCATGCCCACAAGCCATCAGACCAGCTCCAGGCTTATCCTACAACACAGGGGCAGTACTGAAACCATGAAAATGGAAGGGCTTGTCTGGAGAAATCAATGAGTGAGAAAAGGAGAGAGCTAGAAAAGGAATACAAGGAGATTGAGAAGGAATAGCTGAGATAGAAGGGAAAGCAGGAATGGTATCACAGAGGCCAAAAGAATAAGTATTTCAAGAAGAGAGTGGTCAGTGGAATTGAAAGCTCCTGATGTAAAAATTAAGTAGCTATTAAAAAACTTTAATTTCAGAAACATCATATTTGATTGAATTTATGCATAAAACTCCATATCCATTAGCAGTCACCTGCATTTCCCCCATCTATCACACTCCCCACCACTAGGCAACAACTAGTTTACTTTCTGTCTGTATATTTGCCTATTCTAGGCATTTCATATAAACTTAAATCATATGATGCGTTGTCTTTTGTCACTGGCTTCTTTCCGTTAGCCTGTTTTTAAGGTTCATCCACGTTGTGGCATATGTCAGTACTTTATTCCTTTTTATGGCCAAATAATATTCCACTATATAGATATATGATACTCGTCCATCCACCAGTTGATAAACATTTGGGTTGTTTTCACCTTTTGGCTACTGTAATACTGCTATGAGCATTCGTGTACAAGTATTCATATAGAGACATAATTTCATTTCTCTTGGGTATATACTTAGGAGTGGAAATGCAGGGCCGTAAGATAACTGCATGTTTAACACTTTGAGAAATTACCAGACTGTTTTCCAAAGTGGCTGTACCATTTTAAATTCCCACCAACAATGTATCAGGGCTCCAATTTCTTCACATCCTCACCAATGTTGGTTTTTTTTTATTATTTATCTTTCTTTTAATTGTAGCCATCATAGTCTGTTTGAAATGTTATCTGATTATGTTTTTGATTTAGATTAATGATTAGTGATGTCAACCATCTTTTCATGTGCTAATTGGTTATTTGTGTATCTTTGGAGAAGTGTCTGTTCAGATCCTTTGCTCAATTTTTTTTAGACTTAATTTTTTTAGAGCAGTTTTAGGTTCATAGGAAAATTAAGGGGAAGGTACAGGGATTTCCCATATACCCCCTGCCCCTACACTTGCATAACCTTCCCCATTATCAACATCCCCCACCAAAGTGGTACATTTGTTATAATTGACATACATGTAGGTTCATTTCCTACATTGACACAGTATAATCATGCAAAGTCCATAGTTTATGTTAGTGTTCACTCTTGGTGTAGTACATTCTACAGGTTTGGACAAATCTATAATGATATGTATCCATCATGATAGTATCATACAGAATATTTTTACTGCTCTAAAAGTCCTCTGTGTTCCACTTCATCCCTCCCTCCACCACCCCTCAACCCATCGCAACCTGATCTTTTCACTGTCTCCATAGTTTTGCCTTTTCCAAAATGTCATGTAGTTGGGATCATATTGTATGTAGTCTTTTCAGATTGGCTTCTTTCATGTAATAATATGCATTTAAGGTTCCTCTATACTATGGTAAGAGTATATTTAGTTTTGTAAGAAGTTGCTAAACTGCCTTCAAGAGTCTGTGTCATTTTGCATTTCCACCAGCAGTGAATTCAAGTCCTGTTGCTCCACATCTTTGTCAGCATTTGATATTGTCAGTGTTTTGGATTTTATCTATTCTAATAGGTGTATAGCAGTGTCTCATTGTTTTAATTTGCAATTCCCTGATGATGAACAATGTTGAGTATCATATTCTTATTTGCCATCTGTGTATCTTTGGTGAGATGTCTGTTCAGATATTTTGCTCATTTTTAATTCGGTTCATTTTCTTATTATTGAGTTTTAAGAGTTTGTATATTTTGGAATCCAGTCCTTTATCAGATATGTATATTGTAAATATTTTCTCCCAGTCTATGGCTTGTCTTCTCATTCTCTTGACAGTCTCATTTGCAGAGCAGTTTTTAATTTTAATGAAGTCTAACTTAGCAATTTTTTCTTTCATGGATCATGCTTTTGGTGTTGTATCTAAAAATTAATTGCCTCACCCAGCATCATTTAGATTTTCTCCTATATTCTAGGAGATTTATACTTTTGCATTTTACATTTAGGTCTGTAATCCATTTTCTGTTAATTTTTGTGAAGGGTTTAAGGCTGTGTCTAGATTCTTTTTTTTTTTTTTCACGTGTATGTCTAGTTCTGGCACTGTTTGTTGAAAAGATTATCTTTTCTCCATTGAATTGCTTTTGCTCCTTTGACAAAGATCAGTTGACTTTATTCATGTGGGTCTGTATCTGGGCTCCCTGTTCTGTTCCTTTGACCTATTTTGCTCTTGCCAATACCACATTGTCTTGATTACTGTGGGTTTATATTAGGTCTTGAAGTCTTTGTTCTTCTCCTTCACTATCGTGTTGGCTATTCTGGGTCCCTTGCCTCTCTGTGTAAACTTTAGAATGAGTTTGTCACTATCCAAAAAATTACTTGCTGAGATTTTGATTGTGATTATGTTGAGTCTAGAGATCAAGTTGGAAAGAACAGACATCTTAGGAATATAAAGTATTCCTATCCATGAACATGGAATATCTATCCATTTATCTTCTTTGATTTTGTTCATCAGGGTTTTGTAATTTTCCTCATATGGGTCTTGTATATAATTTGTTAGATTTATACCTAAATATTTAATTTTTTCTTTTGATGCTACTGTAAATGGTATTGTGTTTTTTTTTCTTTCAAATTCCCTTTGTTCCTTGCTGGCATATAAGAAAGCAATTGACTTTTGTATATTAACCTTGTATCCTGCAACCTTCCTATAATCACTTATTAATTCCAGGAGGTTTTTTTCTCCATTCTTTGGGATTTTCTGTACAATCTTGTCACCTGCAAACAAAGACAGTTTTATTTCTTCCTTCCCAATCTGTATACGCTTATGGTCTTATTGCATTAGCTGGGACTTCTAGTACAATACTGAATGAGAATGGTGAGAGGTGACATCCTTGCCTTATTCCTGATCTTAGTGGAAAGCTTCAAGTTACTCACCACTAAGTGTGATGTTAGCTGTATTTTTTTAGTAAATGTTCTTTATCAGTTTGAGGAAGTTCCTCTCTATTCCCTGTTTGCTGAGTGATTTTCCCATGAATGGGTGTTGGAGTCAGTCAAATGCTTTTTCTGTATCTATTGATGTGATTTTTCTTCTTTAGCCTATTAATGTGATGGATTACTTTCATTGATTTTTCAATGTTGAACTAGCTGTGGATACCTCAATAAATCTCACTTGGTTGTGGTGTGTAATTCTTTTTATACGTTGTTGGATTTGATTTGCTGATACTTTGTTAAGGATTTTTGCATCTATGTTCATGAGAGATATTGGTCTATAGTTTTCTTGTAATGTCTTTATCTGGTTTTGGTATTAGGGTAATACTGACCTCATAGAATAAGTTAGGAAATATCCCACCTGCTTCTGTTTTGGGTAAGTGTTTGTAGAGAATTAGTATAATTTCTGCCATCTGGGCCTGGTGCTTTCTGTTTGGGAAGGTTAATAATTATTGACTCAATTTTTGTAGATATAGGCCTATTCAGATGATCTATTTCTTCTTGTGTGAATTGTGGTAGTTTATGTCTTTCAAAGAGTTGGTCCATTTCATGTAGGTTACCAAATTTGTCGGCATGGAGTTGTTCATAGTGCTCCTTTAATATCCAGCTAATATTCATGGGATCAGTAGTGATGACCCCTCTTTCATTTCTGATATTAGTTGTTCATCTTCTCTTTTTTTCTTAATTAGCCTGGCTATAGGTTTATCAATTTTCTTTTAGTTTCCTTTTTTTTTTAAAAAAAAAATTGGCACCTGAGCTAACATCTGTTGCCAATCTTCTTTTATTTTCTTTCCTTTCTTCTTCTCCCCAAAGCTCTCCAGTACCTAGTTGTATATTCTAGTTGCAGCTCCTTCTAGTTGTGCTATGTGGGACACTGGCTCAGCATAGCCTGATGAGCAGTGCTAGGTCCATGCCCAGGATCTGCACTGGCGAAATCCTGGGCTGCCAAAGTGGAGCACGTGAACTTAACCACACAGCCATGGGGCTGGCCCCCAAGATTTATCAATTTTACTGATTTTTTTTTTTGTTTCATTGGTTTTCTCTACTGATATCTTGTTAATTTCATTGATTTCTTCTCTAATTTTTCTTTTCTTTTCTTCTACTTTGTATTTAATTTGCTCTTCCTTTTCTAGTTTACCAAAGTTGAAAGCTTAGATTATTGATTTTAGATACTCTTCTTTTCTAATATATGCTTTGAGTGGTATAAATTTTCCTCTAAGCTTTGCTTTCGCTACATCCCACATATTTTGATAAGGGATATTCTCATTTTCATTTCATTAAAAATATTTTAAAATTTCTTTGGAACGTATTTTGACTCGTGTTATTTAGAAGTGTGTTGTTTAATCTCCCAGTATTTTGGGGTTTTCTGCTATCTTTTTGTTACTGATTTGTAGTTT